TATATTGGTCTTTTATTTATTTGCTTACTAACTTGTTCTTATTATGAGTGCTGGGCATGAAATTGTTGCCAACCGGAAGAAAAAAATGTCTTTTGCCTTGCCATGCCATATCTGGATCGGTGGTGAGTTTACATTAGTCCTGGCCTTTGTTTATCAGTAGCAGGCTCTCATGTTTGATAAAAACAATTAGCAATTGATATTATTTCTTGTAATTTAAAGTAGGTGCTGATGTTATTACTACGAGTCGTTTCAGCTTGAAGCTGGGTCTTTCCTTTTGCTCCACTTCTCTGTCTTAAATTCAATACTTCAGAGTTCTGGCCTGAGTGAAGAGATACACAACCCAGTAAGATTTTTGGATAATGTTGTGAATATTTATCTGTTTAAGATCTTTTTTCCTACGTTAATCATATGCATTTTCTGAACGTGAAACCTTTTTGCCTTTTTTTCTTCCAATATCCATATGAACTTTTGTGTGTAATTCTTTGCTCAAGTGATGACAATAATTGGAATTTGACACATTGTTAATTCTTTCTGACTTTTGGATGAATTAGCATTTAGTTTCTCTATTTCAGGTTTGTTTATTCTTCATTACTTGCATACAGATATTCAGTGTGCAGAATATTGTTTGTGTTGGGCTGGTGCTACACATGGCTTGCCTAAAGGAGGTCACTGTGAATTGTATTCTGTATGCATATCTTGATCTAGAATAAAATACAGTCACTGTCTGTAACTTAAACTAAGAACCTATGTAATCAGAAATACGTATATATTCATTAAACTCCATTTTCCATTCGATTTAATCTGTTGTAATCTTGTAACAGTCTGTAAATTAATAATATCACCCTTACGTTACAATTGTTATTCATAAATTCTGGGAGGTAGCTTCTGGATCCCTTGGGCTTTGTTTTATGGAAATATCTTTTTAGAAATGCTAATTTCTTTCTTTAGGTTTGCCAAAAATATTGTGAGACCAATAGAAAAGCATATGCTAGAATGTGGAAATAATTTTCTATAATCAAAGTATGGAAATTTAATATTCTGGACCAAGCTAAACCGGATCCATTCTATAGGTTATTAGATTTTATCCTTTAGCTATCGTTTTCCACCTCCCACCTCTGAGATGGTTTATTTTGTTTATATCGTGTAACTCTTGCTCGTCCTTTTATTGGGCTGGAAACACAAGTTATTATAATTCAGATGCTCTTTCCTCTCCCCTAATTGGTTCACCGCTTGCAGTTTTTGTACTAGTGGGGATTATCCTGGCTGGAGCTGCGTTTAGCTATTGGATTGTTAGGAGATTTGTTATTTCAAAGGTGGTGGTGTGGACTCTGGCGCAATGCCCATTTTTGGTGCCACACTTGTTTTGGAGGCTTGCCTTTTATATCTTTTCTTTTTATATGCTATGACTGTCATTGACATTTAGTGTAACCGTGTCATGTGTCCGATAATTCCACTGTCATTTTGGATTTCCTTTAGTGAGTTATTTTTGTTGCATGCCTATTCAAGATGAACGTTTTTTTTCCTGGGGGTACATGTTTCAATTAAATTTGCCCATGCTAGTTGGACTTAAAATTTTGTATAAATTTTATGGTATAAATGATAATTAAAGACATTGCCATCAGCTTATGATATAATTTAAATTTCTATATCTGATACTTGCTTCTTTATGTAAATAAAATACTGACTCTGAAGAGCTTTTTATCCTATCTGATGACATGACTTTATATCATATTAAAGCTCCTACATGTTTCTAATTTGGTTGTTATTTGGTTAGACTCTCAAAGCTTTTTTATTTATTTTCTTGATTTATATGACGGACATTGTCTGTAGGATCTATTAAGATTTTAGCTGGTGCTAAATTTTTTGTCTTACTAATGCAACATGCTTGTTTCTTTGGTTTGTTGAACGCTATCCATTTAGCTATTGTACTTGTTCTTAAGCATTCTTGTTTTCCGTTCTTTGACAGAGCACTCTTGATCCTCCCCTGGCAATAGGAGTGTTGCTTTTATGTGGAGCTTTCTGCAATTCTTTAAGGCGTCTTTATGGATGGTGATTTTAAGTATATTTGTAATTTCTGCGGCCTTGTTTTGTTTATGTTAAATCTTTTTACCCGTAATAGTTAACATGTCTGCAATAATATCTATTCAAGCTGCCCACCTGGAGGGTTTTTCATGTTGCACTTCAAACACAAATTCTTCCGCTTTTGAAAATATGTGGGGGATTCTTCCAAAATATTACATGATGTGATTGTCAGGACTTGTGATAACTTTTTTTTTGTTGTTTTTTTTTGGGGAAATTCTTTGATGCCCATGATCTGTTTCTGATTATTTGTAGATATTGTAGGCCAAAATCGCATTTCAGGGAATTTGAGCGAGCTGTCTATTTATAGGTCATAAGGAACCCTACCTAGTGTCTGTATGGCTGTCTGACTTGACAAGCTTTTGGTTTTCATTGTAATTGACTGCCAATGTTAAACTTAAGTTTTCCTCATCGAAATGTGGTATTGGCATTATGATTTCACGTAGGTATGAAAATTTAGGGAAGGAGAATTGTAAATATGGCAAGCTGGGCAGATGAGAGGAGGGCGTGGTCGTGCTGAATTCTTGAGTCAACGCTGAATTGAAAATTGTGGAAAAGCCCACAAATTCAGTCTGCATGATCGAATTCTCCTATAAAAGGTATTGTTCTGTTGTTTTTACCTTTTTGGTATGTAATTACTTCAGTCCATACTCCAAAGCTGTATCTAGTTTACCTTCTTGATATTTGCTCTGAAGCATGAAGTTAATTCAAACTTTCTGGAAAATATATCCCATTCAGCAATATCTAATTTCTGGTGGTAACTTGCACTCCGAACGCCTTAACAGTCCTCTTTTCCCCCCCCAAATGCCTTTTATAGCTTTCAATATGGAATTCAGAATAAAAATGTTGTGAAAATTGAGACCTGTATCTTCCTTTGGTTAGCTAGCCTTTTGTATCTGGGTATTTTCCCCATTTATACCTGCCTAAAACAAAACAATATGGTTATTAGGGTATCATCCTCTCGAAAAGACTATTGCCTATGATAATAAAGGCAACCCAAGCAATTTGCCCTTTTTTTTACTCTGACTTGGGGTTGCTGCTTGAGATCACCTATTTTACTATAATATTACCTCCAATCCTAATTATAAGATATTATTTATAAACTATAAACGAGGTCTTACAATTAGAACAAAAGGTAGTAGCATGCAATTATGCATTTCTGGTCCGAGTGTAGCATTTTGGAAACCCTGGGACTATGCTTTATTTGTTCAATTTTTTGTGACTCTTTTTTCTAACATTGTCTTGAGTTCGGTAATGTCCAAACATATGCAATTGTTTCTTTAATATTCCATAATCTAGTCGATGGGTTTTGTGAACTCATCTACCATATTTCTTTGTGTAGAGTTTCAAACGACTTTGCCGTAATCGAAGGCTATGAAAGGAATCTAGAAGAAGATTATATACATGAAAGGTATGTTCCATGGTTTTAGCTTGCATTCTTCATGATTTTAGAGTTTTTTTTTCCTTTTTTTCCCCTCCAAGTCTCTGTGTTTAATCTTTTGTTGTGCGTAGTCGATATAAGACGAAACAAATAATTAAATAGTACTCCTCTTTTTATAAAAGACAATTCACTAGAATCACAAATGATTATAAAATGAGCTAAATAATATATATAAATAATGTAACTTTTTTTTGAAAAATTCTTTTTTAAATGGGGAGACAGAATTACCACTCGAACAATTTATTTTGATAATAAGTGCAACAATATTAATATGATTAATTTAATGCCAGTCAAATAGGAGTTTAGCAAAGACATTGGAGGCGTCTCTTATAAATGTAATTTTTCAAACCACGGAACAAATAATTATTTTTCAATCTAGAATTTCCTATAATTAGTTTTATTTTCATTATTAATTATCCATTTAAGGTATAAAAGATATACAATCTAGTAATTATAAAATAGTATATAATTTTTTAAAGACAAAAAACAGGTTTTTCATCAAATTATATGCATGATTTAGCAGACTGATTTAATCTTTTATATTGATATATTGATTAGTAAATCACATAACTAAATTATTTATTTATTTAATAAGAATATATAATTTTTGAATTATGGACTATTATTCGGTCAAATAATTATAATTATATACTGGTAGTATTATTGTTCCCGTTAGATATACGATGATAGGATTGTCTGTAGGCCTGGGCAAGTGGACTTTGGAAGCTATTCGGTTATCTTTTGGTCCAATGCGCTTTTCGTTCGAGTTGGTGGGAGTTAAGGAAGGGGAGCCCTTTTTTTTTGAAAATGAAAGTGTAACGTTCTTTGTTTTTCCTTAGCGCGAAGGTTAGCATGCTGTTTAAAGTACTACTACCTTCTCCGTTCTAATTTGTATAGAATTAAAAAAATAATTAATTTAGTTATTTATAATAAATAAATATTATTTTTATAATATCTTTATTAATTAAATATATTAACTAGAACTAACATTATCATAAGAACTAACTTAAAAAAGATAAATATGAAAAATAAAATAAACTGAAATCTTATATTTAAGATTAAAATAAAACAAAAATAAAACTAACTCTTATTACCTTCAGTCCTAATTATAAGATTTTGTTTATAGTTTACAAACAAAATCTTATAATTAAGACCGGAGGTAGAATCTCATATTATATTTAAGGACAGGAGGTAATATATAAGAAATTGTTTGACTTTTTTTTTAGTTTTAAATATAAGATTTCAATTCACTTTATTGTTTTTATTTATTTTTTTTAAAATAGTTTTTTCTAATAATGGTAGTTTTAACTAATAAACTTAATTAGTAAGAATATTTTAAGAAAGACAACACCTATTTATTAAAAATAACTATAAAAATATTTAGAAAAGACAACATATATTTATTATAAATAAATAATTTAGTTTATTTTTTTTATCTATTTAAAGTAGTCAGCTAATTCTTATATTTAGGATGAATAAATTGGGAGTTCCCTTCCAAATAACCAGCGAACGCGGCTACCAAAAAGAAAATCGAAGGCCGAAGCGACAGGGCACGTTCATTTCTTACTCATTCTCCTTTCCCGCGCAGAAGAAAGCAGGACTCTGGACTTCACTCCAGAGCCACGGGGCTCTTTCATCTTCTATTTTTCGTCTTTATTAATTGGTCGGCATTTTGAACTGGCAATCACGAGATGAGCTCAGAGGTGAGTTTCCTGCTTTTCTTCTTAGTTTCGGGTTTCTTATGTCCCGTGCTGCATGTTAGATTGCCAAGTGAAAATGGAAACAATGGGGTCTTTTAATGATTCTTAAGAGTTTCTTTTGTACGCGATAGTCGATAGAAGCTCGGCTTTGTTGGATGGCTGGGAATTTGAAGAAAGTTTCTTTGTTGTTTTGTCTTTTATTTATTTCTTATTTTCCTGATGGCCATGTGAATTGTGAGCAGAGTGAGGAAGTTAACTATTTCCTTAAGTTTGGGGCCTTCCTTTAATTTTAATGAACCAAAATTTTGTGCTATAATATATTGATATGTTTAGCAGAAGATTGACGGGGTCGTGATCGAGTTCCCGTTCTTCAGTATGATTCATCTCACTGGTCCCTTTCGATGTTCCAATATCTGTTTCTAGCTGTTTGGAGTAAATAAATATATCTGGGGACTGTGTTCTGTGGATTAGTAAATTTCTTACCCGATTTGATTACATGCTTAACCAGTTATATTTTGTTGTTACATATTCCTTTCCACCTCATTGTGCTGTCACTCTCTTCACGTTACAGTTGCAGGAATTGATCTTGAAAGCCCACTTTTGAATATCCACGCCACTTTGCGGGAAAATATCTGCTCATTGTGCACGTGTTCCTGCATATGGCTTCTCAAGCGTGAGATTTTCTGCTCTAAAAATGTAACCATAACATGTATGTGTGTATGTAATCGTAAAAAGACAATTTAATAAAAAAGAAAGCAAAAAATTATTTTCTGGTATATGAATTTCATATAATTAATTCGTCAAAAATAAAATACTCTTCCGGTCCTTAATATAAGACCTATTTAGTTAATTTGATTAGATTAAAGAAGTTAGATAAGTTAGTTAATTATAAGAAATGTGACATGTTTTTTCTAAAATATCATAATCATCTTTTTTAATATCTTTTCTTTCTTTTTTACTTAATGATAGTTGAAGAAGTATTCATAAAAGTAATTTAGAGAAAATTGATAAATATGAGAAATTAGTTTTATATTTAAGACTAAAATCAACTCAACAAGTGGGTTCTATATTAAGAACCGGAGGAGTAATATGTAATTTTTCTATTTTCAGATTCAAATTAAAAATTCTTAGAACCTATCATTTTTCCAAAAACGATTTCTTCTATGAAAAGTGCATCTTTTAATGTATTATTCAAACACACACTCTTATGTAACTTTTCATGAACTTGCATAATTTTCTTTAAAAAAAACACCAATTTGCATAAATTAAATCACTAATGAACTTTCAAAGTTTATTTTCAGTAAATGAATTTTTGGTAAAAAGGTGAATATAAATAACTAACTTGAAATTAATTTTTGTTGAACGAAATTTATTTATTTTATCATTCATATGTGGTTCATACTGTTTTTTAATCTTCAAAAAATTCCATTTAATTCAGAGTTTATTATTTTTCTTTTTGGCCAAAATTTCTGTTATCTAATTAAAACTTATTTTGATTGGAAATAATACATTCTTTTAATAGGCATACAAATTCCATTGAATTCACGACCTTCAGCATGTTGTGACTCGCTTATCCAAAATTTCTTAACTCCTTTCTCTTGTGAGTCCTCTCTTTTATGTTCACAAGACATTTTTGGATAGTTTTCAAGAAAATTATGGTTTTGACTTTTATAATTAGTGCTTGTTTAATAATGAAACAAACTGGATTTTGTTAAAATGATCTGAATATCCCTCTTATTTTTGAGTATTCAAATAAGCTTATGATAATTAATTGTTATAAATTAATGTCTAATAAATCTTGTAAACCACAATTTAAGGAAATCAATTTTATATTTTAAAGAAAAAATTTATTCTATGATCCAAACACACCATATCAAAATATTAATATTCACGATCACGCCAAGCTAAGCTTACCAAAACCTTATGCATGCATGAATTTTTATTTTGTTGTCACCGAGGTATGCATGGATTGTTCAGTCCCAAAAAGGGCACATCAAATTGAACTTTCGGGCCAACGCCCAGAAGCCCAATAAGGATCATTTAATATAATGACCTGCAGGCTGCGAGCACAGCAGCTTAATTTCCCACCAATGTCATCCACGAAGGAATGGATGAATTGAATGACTATTAAAAAACCAAAAAAAAGAAAGAATTGAATTACTATTGCTATTATTTAGGGTAATATCAGACTGTAACGCCTGGGCAACCGTTGGCAAAATAATAACAAATAATAATTAAGCCTAGGCAACGACCAGCGAGTTCATAACCGGGAATAAAAGAGAAGACCGGTAGTTTCGCTCGTGACAAGGTCCACCTTGCAGTTCGAAACCACTGTCATTCTACGGTTCTCCCGTATTCTATAATTCTGCTACGCTCCATTACCCTCCTCCATTTTCCCCAAAGCTTCCTTTACACTGGTAAATCGCGTTTCATTCCACAACGTGTAACTGTAACTGACATTTGAGAAAAAAGTTATAAAGAAGGGTCAAGCAGTTTCGCTTCTGTTTTTTTGGCGCCGAATTGTTGATTTTTGGTTCCTCACCTTTGATCAGATTGTTTCTATTGACCCTCTTCCATTAGGCAGAGGAATCACACCTATGCCTCCGGAAACTTCAACGAGCTCGGCTGGTGGTAAAGAGGGATCATCGGGTGCTTCTTCCAAGAAGAATTCCAAGAAACCCAAATGTGAGTTTTCCCTTGGCCCAACCACTTTTTCCTTCTTTCGTCATCGTGTTCTGCACGGAGATTTCTTTGTTTTGTGTTTTAGGTGTATGAAATGGGAGCATCATGAAATGTTGGTTTTGTTCGGGGTTTTTGTAGTACCGAGGGAAATTTTATTCGCAGCAGGTTTCGATATACGTACAAAAATTAGAATCTTGCAAATGTTAAGATCCATTCAGGTTTTTTTTTCCAAAATCATGGCCCTCAATATGAAATGTGTTCGTGTCCTCCTACCTGTCTATGTAGCCTTCATTTTTTGTCTGGTTTCTTTGTGATCTTTGGAGAAAGATCCTTTCTCAACTACAGGGATTGGACTGTCTTGGCATGCCTCTGTTTAGCAATTTGTTATGGTTTGTTAAATTTGATGCTCATGATATATGCATTTGTATTGTCTAGGTGTCTTCTTGCATGCAATGGTACTGGTGATTTTTCTCATGAGAAGTTTCATTGATTGTAGATTCTAAATTTTCACAGCAAGAACTTCCTGCATGGAAACCAATTCTAACACCAGGATGGGTATAGCTTTACAGTAGTTTCCGTCTTGGCGTCCGATTTTTACATGCTGTATTATGTAGTCAATCTATTTTACCTTTGTATTACAGGTCATTTCTACATTTGCTTTTACCGGAATCATTTTCATTCCAATTGGCCTCGCATCATTATCTGCATCAGAAAAGGTAGTATAAAACGATTTTCTATGTACCTAGTGTCAAAGGGGATATGAATGCTCAATATCATTTCATTTTGAACAAAAACCACTTTGGCGCAGGTTGTGGAGCTGCCATTTCGGTATGACCACCAATGCATTCCTCCTGATTATAGTAACAATGCAGAAGCTTATATTAAAAGCACTACTACCAACAAGACATGCACTGCGACATGCAAAGTTAGTACAGTTCCTGTATTGCTGATGTGGTTGAAAGCAATTTACTTATTCCATTTCCTTGATTGTTATTATAATTTATAATTGAGGATCCAATCTACGTGGAAGTAACTTGTTCAAAAATACAGGTTGAAAAGACAATGAAATCCCCAGTTTATGTCTACTATCAGCTAACTAATTACTTCCAGAACCATCGCAGGTATGTACAGCTTACAGAGAATATTGCTTTTCTACAGTTTTGTGCATTGATGAGCTGTCATGTTCATATTTTATCAGAAGGCTTTGTCCTGATTCAGGCTTCATATAATAAATGAAAGCAAAACAGATATTGTTTTATATACAATGCTCATGCATCTTATTATTTTCTGCTGAGAAAATTACTAATTCTTCTTGCCTTCGGTTTATGCTGAATGGTGAAATTCTTATTCCTACCTGATTTTGGATACTGAAAAAATGTTTGCAGATATGTTAAAAGTAAGAGTGACAATCAACTGCGGGAAAGGTCTGCTGAGGGGGATACAGACGCTTGTAAACCTGAAGCCAGAACACCAGATGGTCAGCCGATTGTCCCTTGCGGACTCATAGCTTGGAGTCTGTTCAATGACACATACAAAATAAAAGTAAAGGACAAGGATTTGGAGATAAGCAAAAAGAACATAGCATGGCAGAGTGATCAGACCAAAAAATTTGGTTCTGATGTCTACCCAAAAAATTTTCAGACCGGAGATCTGATTGGGGGTGCAAAACTCAACGAGAGCATACCTGTAAATATATTTTCGCTTCTAAATAGTCTGTCAATTTTCAGTTTTTTCATTTTGAGAGAAATAAATAATAATCTTTGTCGCATGACTCTCACCAGCTGAGTGGACAAGAGGATCTAATTGTTTGGATGCGGACAGCAGCATTGTCCACTTTCAGAAAACTGTATGGAAAGATCGAGACCGACCTTGAAGCTAATGATGAGCTGCTCCTAGTGATTGAGAACAATTATAACACGTACTCTTTTGGTGGCAAGAAGACCCTGGTTCTGTCAACCGCAACTTGGATTGGTGGAAAGAACGATTTCTTGGGGTTGGCTTTTATTTTTATTGGCGGTCTGTCCTTGTTCTTCGCTGTAGGCTTCTTACTTATGTATGTGCTCAAGCCAAGGTGAGGAAATACCATGCTCGTCCTTCACTTTATGGTTATTTCTCTATTTTGTACATTCTGGGAATGATGTACTAAGCAGCAATTAGACCTTGCACTTGAAGTACACCATGCTTTTATGCTACTGCATGTTGTAGGTTCAAATCTTATTTGCATTGGAAATGAATTGAGATTTCAGCATGAAAATTGTTGGGATTGGAGGGTCCAAATTTCTTGAAAAACCCAAATCAAGATCTTATTATGCAAAGATCATGCTTGTCTGGTCACGGGAATAGCCAATGGTTGTTCTGTTTTGTCAGGGATCGTGCTTAAGCATAGATCCGTGTGTTAAGCACGTGGAAGCTGACATTGCCATATTTATTGGTATAAATGCAGACCTCTTGGGGATCCATCCTACTTGTCTTGGAATAGAAATCCAGGAATGATCAAATAAGGAGGTAATATATACGGGAAATTCTCCCGCTTTAGGTGATTTAGTAGTTATCCATCTTCCTGCGTAACCGACTTCTTTGCGTGGCAAAGGATCTGTCGTATCTGAGGTTCGTACTTGACCACGTTAAACAACTCGTGACTATGAATGTCGCATAATATTTTGCCCCATTATCGATTTGTTTGATAGCGGCTCCTTAAGGAACAAAAAGTGCTGGAGTCAACAGAATGAGGAGCGAAGTTGTTATTCAAGACATTATGTTTCAGTCACCATCTTGCTTATTTTCATTACAGAGGACAGGGCGGTGCTTATTTTCATTTCCTGTTAAGTCATTATTTGTTGAATGTTATCTTACATTATTTTATTGGGAATAATACTTTTTGTGAGGGTAAAATAAGCCCAATGAGAGAATCAAAATTACTATTTGAACCAGCGGCGCACTTTTTTCTTCTTTTTTCTTTGTTCGTGGGTGCGGCAAAATGTATCAGACATAGATAAATTTCTTTCATCTGCGTGTTTTTGGGAACTGCCTGCTATATTTAACAACGGAGGGAGTACTATAGTAATACATAAGCGTGTGAAGATTTGAACTTTAATTTAGCCACTATTTTAAGTGGTATGAACTTCTCGTGTTTGAGGTGATGTGCATGGGCCCCATGGTATTGGTTGCTTTGGAGCAATCATCCCCAATTTTGCCTGTGTCATTCTTCTTGTTTACTAGCGATTGTTACTAGATTCTCCCTTGTGATATTTACTTGTTTATTTTCACAATGATGGAGGTCATGGGCGTTTGAGTGTAACCTCACATTCAATACCCGGACAATGGACAGATAATTAAGTTTTAAAAATAATAATTAGCTTAAACGCAGATGGGTGGTGGAGACTCGCGAGCTAAATACGTTCCTTTTCTTTTCTTCTTCTTCTTTTTTTTTTTTTTGGGTGGGGGCCAAACAATGTAAAATTGGAGTTGAGGAGATGCCTATCAATTGCAGCTCAAGAAAGAAGCCACGGTTATTCTTGACTTCCAACTTACTCCCCGTTTCCCCCTTTCTTTAAACTGAACAATTATAAGACTCTTCATTACTTTGCTGCTTCTTTAGATTAATTAGAATCGTCTAACTTGTATTTGAAAAACAAACAATACATGGCAATATATAAATTGATTAATTGACAAAAGTTAAAACAAAGTTGAATATGACATCGGAGATTTCAAAACAAGAATGGCATTGAAGTCTCATTGTTTAACCGTCGCGTTAAATTTAATAATTTATTGTATTCCAATCGTACCTAATCGTCCAATAACACCAAAAGTCCAATCCCTCTGGTAGTCTATTCTATCTACACCCACCGAACAATATCCAACTAAGAATATTGTTTGATGGATTCCCAACGAACTACTCTCAAGGCAACTTCTTAGAGTAATTTATATTACATGAAAAACATTTTAAATGCCTAACCTATAGCCAAAGGTTACGCTCATCCAATCAACTATACAGACACCACATATTCTCCAATACTGCCCTGTTTCGTTAACAATCAAGATCAAATTTAAAACATCTAAGAAAATTCACCAGTCACAAGATGATGAACAATGACTTATCTCGAGTAAATATTAATATTAATAATTAATCAATGACAGAGTCAATCATGGCCGAAGCCGGGTCAGCGTAACATGCAAGGCTAACGTGTGGGACTCAGCTAATGGGCTTGTGCCAGTCTTTCATTAGCTTCATAGATTAATAACTTATGGTTGATAAATCCTGTTTAAGTTGTTTATTATTCGAACTTTCAATACGTTAGCGCGTGCTACCCAAACGGAAAAACCTCGTCCCACTTATTTCTTAAACGCTTGCTTTTTTTTTTTCACGCTTTAGCACAACTTTAGATAATATTTTTTTAAACAAAATCAAAATCATTGTCTTCCTATATACCTACCTTAATATAAAAACTAGTCGACTAATTTGAATATATAAGAAAATTAGTTAAATTAGTTATTTATAGCAAATAGATGTTGTTTACCTAAAATATTCTAGTTAATTAAGTGTCATTTGATTAAACATTTGACAAGTACAGCTACGACTATAAGAACTATCTTAAAAAAAAAAAAGAGACAAAATAAATTAGAACTTATATTTAAAATCAAATTAAAAGTTAAGCAAAGCTTTTGTATCAAAGAGATAGTATATATCAAAAAATTATGTCTAATCCATAATTTATTTAAAATTATACAACCTATAATAATAGGAAAGTTTTCAAAAAAAAACCTTGAAAATTAAAAAATTATATACAGGAACCGTTATAAAAATTTGTTGCTTTTCGGTTGTTGCAAAAACTAATACCAATATTGTAACGGTCCCTGTTTACATTTTTTTTAAGACTTTTTTTTTGTGATTTTCCCATAATAATACGCAAATGCTGCTTTTCGCTATTCGACATCAAAGAAGGGCATTTCGCAAATCGCAACAGCCATTGAAAAATTGTTCGTTTCATTCGCGAACAAAATTAGAAAAAGTGTGCTTTTCCAAAGATCCACACAAAACTCTATTATGGATATTTTGATTTTTCTCGCCAGGTGTTTGTCCAAAGAAGTTTCCACGTGTCATGAGGATATTCGCTTATTCTGCGCTCTGCCCAGCTGAATTGTCGTGGGAAACGAGTGTTATGCACGGCGGTATCCACCGAGACCGAGAGCCGAGCTTTTTGGTCCTACTGTAAATTCCAAATTATCCTCCCTGTTGAAGAGCCCCGTTTCCGGTTATTGTTTCCCTCTCTTTCTCTCACCATTCATATGCCATTGGTGTGAAGGTATATTCCTGGTATTGATGCCCTCTCTAACAGATATCCATCACCACGTATAACTCCTTAGCTCAAGTCTAAAGCGATACTTAATCATTTCGGGAGTCGTCGATTTGTCTCTCAGAAGGGCTACTGGGTGAGGCTTTATTTCACATTACCTTCTTCGCTTCTCTTGGTCATGTGTTCAGTAAGGATTTCGTTTCTGTGGTGATTTGATTTTTACTTGTCCCGGCCGATTCATATTGTTGCTATTTTTCATTTTCTAGCGGAAAATTGTTTACTTGGCAGGGTGGGTGATCCGGGGAACGTGTTGATGGATGTTGCATTCTTGGTTTCTCTATCAAAGTGTATTGCCGTATTTGATGTCAAAGATTGTGTTTTTCTATATTGGGCGTGTTAATTTTTGATGGTTTCGTGTAATTCCTGTCTTTTGGTCTGATTTTCAATTTATATGGGGGGATGCTTAACCTTCATTGGTGACAGTCTTCATTTTTACCTTACCAAGTGGAACTGGGAATAATGGATGATTCGAGTAATGCTTTTCTTGAGTTTTGGTGCTGTAACCGCTTCTTGATTCTTTTGAGTTGCCATGAGAAATTGATTTTGTCGGAGTGAAAGTAAGGAACGAGTCGTTAACATCCTAGATCGGATAGAAGACTCCGAAGAAACGGAATTCATCGCATTTCATTTGTTGTTCGTTTTGTTTTCCTTTTTCAGAATTTAATCTATAACCACTGCAGCGACGGGACTTCATTCTGCATCAAGACTTTTTCAAGGGCTTGCGTCACAAGAAATTCTTTTTGCCAAATCTCATACTTCTTCAACCTGCTCGTATGAACTCTTGAACCTATGAATCAGGTTCTACGAAGAATAAGCTGAATTAATTGTTCTCCCTTGTTTTGGTTAGAGGAGTATATTGTCATCTCATGAGACATTGTGATCTTTTATCAATTTGCTTTACCCCTTTTTCTGAATAGAAAAAATTTGGTGATTTCCGTTCTGAGATCTGATTTGTAAGGCTCCTACAGACTTTGGTGTCCTGTCAAAGATGTACTAAAAGATTGCAATTGCCTGTGTATATTTATGTGTATGTTTTCTTGTTTTGCTTGTCATTATTTGTCATCAAGGTTTATTTCACATGCAGGAAAATTACAAGATCTGTGCTAGTTCTCATTGGAGATTTCTTTGAGGCGCATGATCCGTGCTGGGATATGTCAATGGCTGCTGCAACTTGTTTGTGTACACGATAAGGATGGTGATGATGAGGATATTAATGATAGATTAGCAGTGGATCACTTCTGCCTTTAGCTATATCTCTTGTTGGTTTGTTTACCATATCACTCAACTGTTTCAACCTGGACAAGTTAAAAGCAGATGGTGGTTCAAAGAGTCTGAACAATTTGTTATTAGCTGTTGAGGAAGAATCTCTTAGAAGGAAATGATTTTGGGAGTCTCACTTTTCATGTCATCAGCAGCTAGAGGCATATATTGTTAGGGTGTTGGAATCATCTTGTTGGCCTAAAAAATATTGTAAAAGATAGCTAACATATTTGGGGTGCACCTGCTACAAAGATGGAAGTAATTGTTTCATCACAAGCACAAAAGCAGAATTTGCAGACACCTAGACGCAAAAATTTATTTGCTGGGTCCCAAAGGGATTTGTGGCTTATTGCACGAGAAGGATCCCTAAATGATTTAGAGTCATCATTGGCCTTAATGAAGAAGAGTGGGGGTAATATCAATTCGAGGAACACCTTTGGTTTGACCCCTCTTCATATTGCAACTTGGAGAAACCACATCCCCATTGTCAGGAGGCTTCTTGCTGCTGGGGCTGATCCTGATGTTCGCGTATGATTATTTTTCATAAGGAATTGTTATAGTCTTACAGATATGAACTTGTTCGTTGACTTGTTAGTGTGAAATTTTTCTTTCTTGTATACAAACTTTGCTGCACTTTTGGAAGGAATTTTGTGGAAAAAGTTTTCTCCAAGTTGTCCAAGTCTAATTATTGCTCCAGAGCGTCAAGAGTTTATGAAAAATTAAATCTTTGGATCCATTGGTGCTTAAGCCTGCTTTATTTTCAGGATGGAGAATCAGGATGGAGTTGTCTTCACAGGGCCTTGCATTTTGGTCACCTTGCTGTGGCAAGCATCCTTCTTCAACATGATGCCTCTATTACATCGGAGGACTCCAAATCTCGAATACCATTAGATCTCTTATCAGGCCCTGTCTTGCAGATTATTGGAGATGAAAGCAAGTCAGGTACAAAATGTTGTGCTTTGAATGTATGTTTTAGCTGGTTGCAAATAGGAAAAGTAAGTAGCCTTGCAAGATAACAACCTGCATTTTGTGCATGTTTAGTGGCTACTGAGGTCTTTAGTTGGGGAAGCGGCACAAACTATCAGCTTGGAACTGGAAACGCACACATACAAAAGTTACCATGCAAAGTTGATTCACTTAGTGGTTCTTTCATAAAGTTGATTTCTGCTGCAAAGTTCCATAGTGTTGCAGTCACTGCTTGTGGAGAAGTGTATACTTGGGGATTTGGCAGGGGGGGACGTCTAGGACACCCTGATTTTGACATCCACAGGTATATATTCTGCTATCTACCTCTCAGCAGCCCTCACAATGTATTTTACTTTTTTAGGACTGTGTGTATGACTGTCAGCTGATTGTATGTTTGGATAGTTGCCAGTTGGATTTCATTTTGCTTTGCTCATTGCAGTGGTCAAGCTGCTGTCATCACTCCTAGACAGGTGACTTGTGGTCTGGGTTCTCGCCGAGTGAAGGCAATTGCTGCAGCTAAGCATCATACTGTTATTGCTACTGAAGGTGGGGAAGTGTTCACCTGGGGATCCAATAGAGGTAAAATCTGATATCCATATCAATTTTTAGTTGTGACTATTTGCTTTCATATGTCTCTGGGCAGCCCTGCTATGTCTTACTGTTTTCCTCAAGTGTAAGATTTTATATTTCTCCAATTATCAGTTATTAGCAGGGCAAATGGTTTGGCTTTTATGACTTATGCTGTGTGCTGTAGGTTGAAAGGAATTTGAGATTGCACAGAAAGCTTATTCTCTGTATCATTTATTCATTTATGGACGGTGTCATTAATGTCTTTCTTCCCCCCCCCCCCCCAAATGCAGAGGGACAGCTTGGTTACACTTCTGTAGATAGCCAACCAACACCTCGAAGAGTGACTTCTCTGAGGTCAAAAGTTGTTTCTGTTGCTGCAGCAAACAAGCACACAGCTGTAGTTTCTGATCTAGGGGAGGTTTTCACCTGGGGTTGCAATAGAGAGGGTCAGCTTGGTTATGGCACCTCGAACTCAGCATCCAACTACACTCCACATGTGGTTGAATACTTGAAGGGAAAGAAATTAATTGGTGTTTCTGCTGCTAAATATCATACAGTTGTTTTAGGATCAGACGGAGAGGTGACTATCTTGCATAATGTTGTTCATTTTAACTTTCTAATGGGAAAAAAAAAATTAGTTTTATCTAGAAGCAGGATGTTTGGGCTCTAGATAAATGGTGTTTTACGTTTTCATCTTGACCATTGTATTATCATGAGGATGGTAGCATTTTGATGTTGTCCGAGGCAGAGTTACCTATAGAGCATGCTGTTTTTCTCTGCTCCCATTGGCATCTGTTCCCCTCCTGCTTTTGTGCTGAAGTTTACTAATTTTTCTTTTGTTTATGCTGAACTGTTTTGATGTTCATAGACACGTGTATGGGCGATTAACATTTTGTTATGATTTATTTCCTTTTTCTTTTTGGCTCAATTTGTTATGATTTAGTTCTATGTAGAGCTTAGTTGGAGCTAATTTGCGATGAGTTATTTCTTTCTGTTGCAATATTAGTTTTTAGGTTTTCATTGTTATATTCTAATGTACTGTGTTTAGCAGGTATACACTTGGGGTCATCGGCTTGTCACTCCTAGACGTGTAGTGATTTTTAGGAATTTAAAGAAAAGCGGAAGCACTCCTTTGAAGTTTCATTGCATGGAGCGACTACATGTGATTTCTATAGCTGCAGGAATGATTCACAGTATGGCTCTGACAGATGATGGTGCATTGTTTTATTGGGTTTCCTCTGATCCTGATCTTCGATGTCAACAGGTTTGCACTAAATAAATTTTTTCTCTTTTCTCTTTTCTTTTTTTCTCTCTCTTTACTTGTGATGATCCAATGATTGGAAACATGTCTTTCCTTCTTTTTATCACAAAACCGTGTGCAGATGTATGCCATGTGTGGTAAAAATATAGTGAGCCTATCTGCTGGAAAGTACTGGACTGCAGCAGTTACAGCTACAGGTGATGTTTACATGTGGGATGGGAAGAAAGGCAAGGATAAGCCACCAGTTTCAACTCGGCTGCATGGTGTGAAGAGGGCTACATCAGTTTCAGTTGGCGAAACACATTTGCTCATTGTCGCTTCCCTCTATCATCCTAGCTATCTTCCCAGCACAATTGAGAATTCTCATAAGCTGAAGTTGGATAACAGGGATGATGTGGGAGAGTTAAGTGAAGAGATCTTATTTGAGGATATGGAAACCAATAATATGATATCTAGTACACAAAATGATAATTCTGGGCAACAGTCTGTGCCAAGCTTAAAAAGCCTTTGCGAGAAAGTAGCAGCTGAGTATCTTGTGGAGCCACGAAATGCCATACAGCTACTTGAGATTGCTGATTCTTTTGGAGCAAATGATTTGAAGAAGTATTGTGAGGTCCTACCATTGACTTCTACGCAAATTTGAAGTATATGTAATATTAAATTGGCCTTGTGATGTTGCTTCTTGTCAAGACTTATTTTCTTATTTTTTATTTTTATATTTTGAACCTGTGCTATTGGTGGAACATATATCAGTCAGTTTTATTACCATCTAAAATTTTTTTCTTGAAAATAGTATTATGGAGCATTAGAGATCATGTAAGGCTACCATATTGCATGTAATTTTGCAATTTCAGTAGTCATTGATGTTATATTTACTTGGATGTCTCTTTATGTGGTGAATGGTTCGATATACTGAAGCTGCTGTCGACTGATTGCAGGAGATTGTCATTCGCAACCTTGATTATATTTTTACAGTTTCACCACATTCAATTGCCCGTGCTTCACTAGATATCCTGGCTAACCTTGAGAGATTGTTAGATCAGAGATCATCTGAATCATGGAATCACCGTCGTCTCCCTACTCCAACTGCTACTTTCCCTGTCATCATTAACAGTGAGGAGGATGAAAGTGAGATGGAATCTCCAAGAATTCACGATGAACCCAAGAAACTGTGTTCATTGACATTGGAGAAAGATCAGAACTCTTTTCTGCAGCCCAAAGATGATCCCAATCAAGGAATCTCCAAAGCAGTTCGAGCTCTAAGGAAAAAGTTGCAGCAGATTGAAATGCTTGAAGCTAAGCAGTCCAATGGATTTGTTCTTGATGACCAGCAGATTGCAAAGCTTGAATCTAAGCGAACTCTTCTGACCTCGCTTATGAATCTAGGTGTTCCTGTTGAGACTTTACATAAAGAATCCTCTTCCGTACTGTCAGAAGGGAAAGGTGCTAAAAAGAGTAAAGCATCAAAAAAACAGAGAAGGAAGAGCATCAAATCAAGTGTATTGCAAACAGAAGCTGAATCTGTTTGTTCTGGGACTGGAGAAATTCCTGGAACGGTAAAGGACTTGTTGGACCTTGATATCTTGGAGGTTTCTAACACAAAGGTTGGTTTCCAAATTCCACCTGCAATATTCAGGATAGATTATTGAACGAATGGCTGGTCATGGATTTTCACTATCATTTCCTTTTCTTTTTACAAGGGAAGGGTCAGTTTAAACATTTTACAGTCCCTGAAACGCTGGTTTATCTAATAGTTTTACATTTCAACTTTACCTTTTTATTGCTATTGTAGGTCAGGTTTCCTTTCGTTTTAGACAGTTTGGGAGCAAGGGAAAATCATTTTACTTTAGATAAGACTGATATGTTTAATTTGAGTATTTTGCCCTTCCATAATTTCTTATTGCTGACTCATGAACAACTTGTGTCTGTGTTGGAAATAATGTCCGGCAGGACCCAGGTAGTTAATGCATTGCTCCCATTGGAAGAGATTGTTAATCGATTATCACCTTTTACACGTTGAGTTGAATATTTCATTCTTACAAAGCACAGATCTTCAAGAATTCCCCTGCCTTAGCATAGTTCCTGTCATAGATTGTTTTTAATTGAAGTTTAAAATTATATTTGATAGGTGCAAGCTGACATTGGCGAACAAACTACAGCTGCCCAAGGTGGAAAGGAGTCAGCTTTCATTCTTCAGAAGAACGATTCTTTAGAGATGCCAAAAAACAAGGGACAATCACCAAAGGTCTCTAAGAAGAAGAGCAAGAAAGGTGGTCTTTCTATGTTTTTGAGTGGTGCTCTTGATGATGCTCCTAAAGAGGTGGCTCCCCCACCACCAACGCCCAAAAATGAGGGTCCTGCATGGGGTGGGGCCAAGTTTCTGATGGGCTCTGCTACACTTCGTGAAATCCAGGATGAGCAGAGCAAAGTTAAGGGGAGTCAACCAGCTAGGAGCAAAGATAAAGCGGAAAACGTTTCTAATTGTGGAAGTGGAGGGAAGATGCGACTGAGTTCATTTCTTCCTTCCAGTCCAATACCTGTTGCATCAACTCGCAGTTCCCCAGTTTCTGATGGAGAAAAAAGTACCCCAACTTGGGCTGCCTCAGGAACCCCTCCTTATCTCTCTCGTCCATCTCTTAGGGATATACAGATGCAGCAGGTTTGTAAACTAACGCTTCCTCTGACGTCTATCTTCATGTTTGTAGGTCAGTGATTTTGTGATGCTTGCTGTCAACCTCAGAAATTTCTGTATCCCTTGTTCTCCTATGCATATTTAACTTGCATCCAATATCTTGTTGCTTGTTAATATGTGTTTCTCTGAAATGTCATTGAACTGACATTTTCTTCAAAGCAGGGAAAGAAGCAACAAAATATTTCCCATAGTCCGAAGACTAGAACAGCTGGATTCAATATAGCTACCGGTCAAGGGTCACCATCTGATGCTTCTGGTGCTAACCGCTGGTTCAAGCCGGAAGTGGAGACGCCATCCTCAATTCGATCAATTCAGATTGAGGAGGAGGCTATGAAGGATCTCAAGCGCTTCTACACCAGCGTTAAGATTGTCAAAAATCAGTGTTGAGGCCATCTATTTATTTGCTCAGGTGGCAACAGATACTAGTCCATTATTTTTGTTAAATTTTTCCTTCCCTTTTGGTTTTACCCCAAGGACTGTAAATTGGTCTGTACAGATAGTTGCACTGTCCGTTCATTTCTTTCCAAATCAGAAGTGTAGTTTCTAGCCTCTTAGCACCCTGGTCTTTCCATTTCTGGCCATTCTTTTTACACCCCATCAGCACTGTATGACTAGGATGCTTACCTGTACTCAATTGTAAGTGTTCCAGAAGATGAAGACTGGTGAATAATGATCCTGCACTAACATTAGTAGCAGCATCAAATAGTGTAGATTTTCAGAATAAGAGGGCATTCTCACTCCTATTGAAGTAAAGACCCACCATAGGCGTGTAGCGCCTACCTCCAAGCCCTCCTCCCCCTTGTTTGTGTTATCTTCAAACTTCCTCCATTTAGGTTGAGAGGCAATGCTAATTTCAGTTTGTGACTGTGTAATAATACTTTAAAGATTTGGTCGTTTCTGCCTGCTGTTGATTAGGCAGCGTTAGCATTAGGAAGCAGGAACAGAGACGAGCGGTTGTGACGGAGATAATGTGGCAAGATGAGTGTTATTATTGGAGCTACTAGCTGGAGCGATTCTGTTACTTTTGTACTGTGAGGGAGGGTGGGTCAAAATTTAGTGTTTTACACTATTATTGTTAATGTTATACATTTTATACTTATTGTGGATAATTATTTGGTCTACTCTATTTTAGTACTTTTTCTCTTCATGCTACAATTATCTACTATGAGCCTTCTCCATTTACCACCAACCCCATCATCATTTAGATTTTTTTTTTGGGTTGTCTTTTGAATTGGTTATTGAGTTACTGTCCTTCTATCTTCCGGCGGTGACACGTGCCAATTATGCAAATTTTTAAAGCAGAAGTTTACTAGGTTTGGAGGTTGCTTTCATTCAAGACTCATACTTGAAAAACTTTAAAAACTAAGTTATTTACAACACAAAGACTAACGCACATGAATGAATGTATCATTTCTTCACTAAATTCAGTACAACCTGAATCACACCTGTCACAATGCATATTGTGATACCAGTTACCCTAAACACTTTCCACAGGCTTGCCAGGTAATTGTGTTTCAAATCGGCCATGTGTCTTCTCCACGAAGATGGTAGAAATTATAAGTTAGCATAACTCCATGATAGAAACTGTTCTTCATATTGGCAAGTTCCCCGGAGTCTCCAAGCCGACCCTTGATGACTCTGGCTTGCAGGAGCATATCCACATGTTCCCCAACATTAATCAGAAAATCCAACAGGAAATCTATGTAGTGGGTAATTAAAGTCGAATCTCTGATGAAATAACTCAAATGTGACGACGCTCATCATCCATATTCCTGTCGTAGTGGATAATCAGGTATCCAATACCACATATAATCTAATTAAATTTATATTTTAAACAAAGTTAAACTAAAAAAAATGACTTAATATTATATGAAGTGAATGAGTATAGGTTGACGAATGGATTCAAAATGCCCATTATTCGCAAAAGAAGTAAATATCCTAAGTTCCTAACCATATATATTTCTTATCACTCAAATTCTAGCCAATCATGGTTGGCCAAAAAAAATTCCAACCAGTCATGATGATTTTCTCGTTTATATCAATAGGATCTAGAGCTAGCTAGTCAAAAAAGTCAATCAACAACATTCCTTTTATCTTCTAAATGTGGAGTAGTTATATAACTTTTTGACAATCAAGCCAAATTTAATTATATATACTAATACTAATTAATGACATCAGAGCGGCTACACATTAAAATTATCAATTAGGTGGTCGTTTATGCAGGTTATCAACGCATATCTGACATCCAATGACAAACGTGGGACAAACAACTTCTGTATTGCCAAACATTATTGCTCATCCCAGTTATTATATGGAGCAGGTCTACTTGCTTCGGCTAGGTTATGATGTCCTGAAAAATAAAGAAGTAATATCATCGAGCATTTTACGTTCGATACCACAGACAACACATCTCCCAAGAGCAGTAGTTGAATAGCAAGTTCATATCATTCACAAGTAAAGAATCCTTGTTATGCTGTCATTAGTTGAATTATTAACACTTTCAATGTTACGTGCAAGCTGTCACAGAAGATGCAGTTAATTAGCTTTGTCTTTTTATGCTCACACACCAAAAGTGAGAATAGCAATGTATAGAAAAGTGATAGAACAGTGATATACGGTAACTGAATACTCCTTTTTTTTTTTTGGCAACGTGCATGCACAGCCAAATGTGCGTAACAGTGTCGTGTACTTAAAGGCAAGAGTGGAAGTGACCCCTTTTTTCCCCTTCAACGTGGACGAGATATATCGATCTCCAAACTCCATTGGTGTTCTTGGAATATCTTTTTTTCTTTCTTTCTTTTTTAGTTTTTTGTTTTGGATACGTGAGTCCAACGACTCCTATAACTTTAAGTTAAAAAAAGGCAACTGCGGAGGGGACCCATATGGGACCCCTAGCCTTTGGTCATCCCTTGAGTGCTTTCATTTTTTTTCTTTTTAGGCCTGAAAAAGTCTGATCATCTTCATCAAAGCAATCTCTAGAGGTTTGTCTTCCTCATAAAGCTATAATATCCTTATTAGAACAAGACAACATCGATCCCTCCCCTTTTCATTATTAAACTCCTACAAATGACCTGTCTATCACGTTCTTTCCTTTCTTTAAGTTGAATGCTTCTCTCGCTCTTCAATGTCGTATGATCTGTTATAACCCCTTGTCTGGCCTCCACTAGATTTACTACTTAGTGGCGTATTGATTGAGAACTTGAGTGCTTGCAGGCTTATTCTTCTTGAACCTGGAGAAAGAGAAAAGCGATCAAGAAGCTATATATATATATATATATATTTATATATATAAAGGGGTGTTTAGTAGTGCAATATCTGCATATTTTTGGTTCTTGATTTCTCTTTGATGAGCGATCGAGATTGAGAAAGAGAGAGGATTTGATGAATCATGGGAGGGAGATGAAAGAAGGAAAGGCGGCGCAGGGAATGAAGCTCGATCCGAAATCATTGTCTCTACTAACGTGCCTTGCTGCATGAGAGAAATGGAAAGTTTGATCCAAGATCTTATCTTTCTACTTCTTATAATTTGTTAATTATTATTACAATCATTAATTACGATTACAACTATATATAAAAAATAGTGTGTTTCTGTGTGTGTATTTATATATGGCTCTGATGCATGGGAAGGGACTGATTTCGGACCAGGCTTCATTCTCACGCCCAGCTTTTCCTATATATAAACAAGCAAGCAGCAACTATGAAAGGTAAGCCTTCTTTTACTCTTTTTCTTAAAACTTGCTCTCCGGCCAATAGGATCCTTTCAATTTCTACGGAGAAAATGCACTTATGAAGTTGTTCTGAGTTATTAATTTTCACCAACCCTGCAAATAGAAGAAACACTCTACTCCGATCCTGTGGAATATGTAGAAGAAACGATGAGTTGAGAAAGAGCACCTTTATTTCTATTAAACCTAAGTTCATATATATGGGTTTTGCTATGTAGCTCCCTTTTTCGTAGACATGACGACGAACTGTGCCTTCCTGTAGCTTTTTGATTATTACGCACAGAAACAAAACAATGACACGCACGCAGCGTAATTTTTGTATATCCATAGCTTAATCAATTACTACTGTGCAAGGCCCGATCAGCGTGAGATATTTTCAAAATGAAACGGGCTTTGCCATTATACTCATATACTACTTCTGATCCTAAATATAAGATATCATTTACAATCTATAAACGAGATCTTATATTTAGTTTGAAGTGAAACTCCAAGTTTGTCTTGGTTTGTGGGGCTTCTGCATGTTTTATGTGTGTGTTCAGGATATATATTTTCTTTGGTGATAAAATTTTAAGAAAAGGGTTAGGTTTACCCACCATTCAAAGGCAGGTTAATTAACTTTTGACCCCACTTTATCCAGTGTCGTAGCTTAAGGTAGGTCCATTGTTTACAAGCTAGAAGTCTTGGCTTCAAAGATGCTTCCCTAGTGCCACGATGTGCTCATGCTCTGAGGTCAAACTTGTTCCCTCAATGGACAAGCGTGTCCAACCCTTTTACCTGCTAAACCCATGGACAAGGATTCAAGATATATTTATTTTTGACCGAACGAAAAAGGGACGAATTAGTTGAGAGATTGAATTCTTATATGCATAAGATGACAATATCTCTTATGGGGATTTTTATTCCATTAAAAGTTGATCATGATTTCTTAAAAGCGTTCTGGGAAATCAAACACTCTCTAACATGTCAACAATTAAACTAATATTATTTCAATTCATTCTATGTTATCTCTCTCTGTTTTTTTTTTGAAAAAATTGGAAAATTTTAAGGAAACAAATATTTTGGAAAACATTCATTTCTCTTTTGTAGAAAAATAAACATTATAATTTATTTTTCATATCCTTAGAGAAAATAAAATAGACGGGAGGAAGGGCTCATTTAATGAAGAAAAGGATGGGCTGGACAAGAGGCCCAGTTATTGACTCGTCGATGCCAAATGAGGCAATCTGGGGAATTCTGGAATGGTTAATAACGAGGTAACAGGCACATTCAACAATTCTGCTCGGCTCATTTGGAGAATTGGCTTCAAAAATGTTATTGTTGAGACTGATTCTAAAGCCTTGCTGGAAAATTTTGAAGAACATAGATCATCTGAGGAATGGTAGTCCAATCTTCATTCAGATTTTAAAGAGAACGTTGAATGTTTTCGCAGCAGAACAGTGTTTTACTGCATGTTATTTTTCATGGAAGATAAATGGAGAGAAATTTTAGTGGATTTTAAAAAGACAGATGTGCCTATTTCTCTTTCTCCACCGTGGCATCATTTTATTACTATAGCCCTTCTGTATTATATTTATCATCTGTATGATTATTATTTCATAATTTGGCCAAAGACGAAGAGCTCTTTCTACCATAGAATTCATTGTTTGATCTACTCTTTTGTATAGTTTAAATGGGCAGGGTAATATGTTTCTTTTATGGATCAATGCTAGCCTTTAAAAAAAAAAAATTGTTCCCATGGCACCAGTATTTCAAGTTTAATTTACCACCATTAACAAGGGTTAGGTCCAGCAGAAGAAACTAATCCCTCACAACGTAATGAATTAAAATTCGAGTCCTTACTGAGAAAGGTGCCCACATTTAATGCTTGACAATATCTCGAATAGGATTACAAAAGATACCTATGTTTTAACAAAAACAATTCACTACTGTGAACTGCAAGTCCCATGTTCAATTTGTTTCTCAAGCAAACTGGCCCTATATTAACAAACACGGTTTATTTCGAGGCCTGATTTCTTTGGTGAATATCTATAATGATCATTTCACTGTGTTCATTAAAATTATGTTTGAATCATTATCATTTGATTTAATTTCAGCAGCTTGAATTTTAAGTCTTCCTCTCTCCTTTTTTTTTTTAAAGTTAATTTAAAATTTCATTTTTCAAGAAAAGTAACAACTAAAAGACTGACACTTGTTAAAATAAAAATAAAAATATATATATATTAAGGACAAAAAATAATGAAATTTGATCCATCAAATTTGTTATGGAGAAAGCTACATTGCTCAAATAGAGATGAGCCCCCAATATGGAATCCTTTCTCCTAATTGTGGGACATTTTAATATTTCAAAACTATGGAATCATTTTATGCGGTGGCCTCAAAATACGACCGGGACGCATCATGTTCCAAATAAACGTTCCGTGGAGGAAACATCCATTAACAGTGTCAACCCAAACTTCCGAACATTCGGAAATTACGGCATAATCCAATCCATTGCCCACTCGTAGAGACAAGCAACGTTGAAAACGATGGATATAAAAATGTTTTTGTTTGTAATTTTACTGTATCAAACCTCAGTCAACCTTAAAACAGTAGAGCATTCAGATACGTACGCATGCGGCATACCCATTAAAAAAAAGGAATACGTCAGGAAAAGGTTATTATTGAAAATTTTATTAATGAGGAATTAAGTCCTTTTTATTAATAAAATTTTCAACCCCAATTTTTTTGAGGAAAAAAAGAAAGAAATCGATCCCAGATAGAGATTTTTGTCCGCATCTGAGTGCTCCATTGTTTCAAAGTTGACCAAAGTTTCATAAAGTGGAATTATAAAACATTTTTATATTCATCAAATTGGAGAAAGAAAAGTTGAGAGGAAAGAAAATAAAGAGAAGAAAAAACTTGAGAAAAATTGTTATCATTCCTTTTACTTGGATGGATGAGAGAAAATAGAAAGGAAAAAATAAATAAATATCTAAATGACTAAAATGTCCTTATCAACATATATCATATTTAAAATTAAATATCACAATAAAAAAATTATACTAACATTAGCATCATCAAATAATTTAAAATCAAGTTATTTGGTTTATATGTATTTTCAGATTATTATATTTTAAAACCAAACTATTTAATAAAAATATTGTCTTAAGATAAAAAATAAAAAGTGAATAACTTTTTAAATATAATAAAAGAAAGTAAATATGGAGAGGAAGAGAGAGGAGGGACAATCATGAAAATCTTATTTTTCTTTCCAAATATCTCTATATATAGAGAGAAAATATTTTTCATATCTTAAAGTATTTTCTGATACAATTATCCAATACTCTAAATTATTTTTCAGGCAAGTTCAGCATCCTAAGAATATTTTTTTTATTCATCCTTCATCTTGAAATATTTTTTCAAATGCATATAGTATCCTAAAATATTTTGTGATTTATCCAACAATTTAAAATATTTTTTAGATACATCTGGTATTTTTACTGAACACACATGAAAAAAATATTTCAGAATATTGGATGAAACTTAATCTAAAAATAATTTTAATATATATTACTTTTTGTCTTTAATATAAGAGTAAATTAAGAAAATTAGTTAAATTAATTATTTGTAATAAATAGGTATTATTTTTTCTAAAATATCCTTATCAATCAAATATATTGGTTAAAACTATTATTATTACAATAACTACTTTAAGGAAAAAAATAAATACGAGAAATAAAGTGAATTAGGATTTTATGTTTAGAGTCAAAATAAAAATTAAACAATTTTTTATATTAACGATAAAAAATAATATCTTTTTTGGTGATTAACAAAGAGAGAGAAAAAAACCCAAAAAAAAAAAAACTAACGTCGCGTTTTGAGTGCTGAGGACGCCGTGGTCATCAGGCGATCCAACGTGCGTGCCAAAAGGTTCGCATTCGTGAGAATTCCACCTACCGCCTAATTACTAAATCAGAATTTTAAAAATAATTTTAAGGAATATATTTGCCAGAGTATTCCAATTCAATGATCCATTCAATTGAGGGATCGAATTGATGACGTACCAAGGGGGGCCCAATTACTTAATGGATCTAGAAGGAAAAATATCATCCATCCAGATTTTTCGAATCACAAAAATCATATAGTTATTAATTATATATTCACACTCATACAAATATGCACATATGAAAATTCTGATGTAAATAAAAAAGGAAAATTCACTTTGGTGCTCAATTAGAAGAAAAGCAATTCAGCCTCATCCCTAAATCCAAACGTTCATTTGCATTATTGAAAAATAAACAGAAGGAAAGACATTGAATTCGGTTTCATCCCCGATGAAAAAGATCCATTGTCGTTGAAAAGAAGTTCGATTTCATGTACATTCTGAATTTATCTGTGATTAATATAAGTGGTGAAAGAGATATTAATTAAACAAAAAAAAAAGGCGGATAAGATCCTGAGTCATACAATTGAGCAAATTCAGAGGAGACGACGGCGGGTCACCCTCTTGCTTGTATTTTCAGACTCTCAGCTTTATATGTCTATATAGAGAGAGATATATATATATATCGATCGTTATTCTGTATTATTTGCCACTATACTTTCACTTCTTAAGCCAGCGATTTGCCATTGTCGGCGAGAGAGCCACACGGCCTTCTGGGTATTATTAATACAGCTTATTTTACTCACTCTTCTGGTCTCCTTCTGCATTTCATTATCCTGCTCTTGCATTTCATTCTTTTTCTTTAATTCGCCTATCAGCTGCACCATACGCGAATTTTACATGTTTTATGTGAGTTTCTGTTTGTTTTGCATTTTTTGTGACGATTTTCACGGGGCTATTTTTTCTGGTTTCCGTTACTGCGTAACTTGGGTTTAGGACTCTGTTGGGATTGCACTGGAGATTTGCATGATTTTCAGTTCAGTCCGTGATTTCGATTTTATCGTTTTGCTTATATTATCGGTGAATGCTCGTCGTTTTTTTCTCTTATCCAACTTAATTGGGTGATTATATTAGGCTGGTTGATCAACCTTGGAATCTCATATTGTGTTCTGCCTCTATTCCTCTGCCTCCTTCCTTCTTTTCTGTACTGGTCCTTACTCTGATCTTATTGTGAAGCTGAGCTGATCGAGGAAAAGAAATGGCAAAAATTCCCATTTTCCTTGTGGGGCTTCTGCTCCTTCGTTGCTGGTTTGCCATGGCAGAGACGGAGTACGCGAAATATAAAGATCCTAAACAGCCATTGAATGTTCGGATCAGGGATCTCATGAACAGGATGACTCTGGAAGAAAAAATTGGGCAAATGACACAGATTGATCGCAGTGTTGCTTCTCATGAGGTCATGAACAAGTTTTTCATCGGTAAAGTCACCGTCTCACCTTTGTTTTTTGTCTTCTCTCTATTTTTTTCCGCTTTCATGGGAGATGGAGGGACCAACAAAAACAAACGTATATGACAAATGTAGAACGTTACTATTTGTGTCCTCTGGAAGTTTGCCACCGTTTTTTGTTTGGGTGAGGAAAGGAACTAGGGATAAGAACAACTTTGTTTGGGTGAGGAAAGGAACAAGGGATAAGAACAAACATATATAACAAAAAAGGACAACCTAATTGTAAGGTTTGAGAGAGATTGAAATGTCATATTTTGCAGGGAGTGTGCTGAGTGGGGGAGGAAGCGTGCCGAAGAAACAGGCTTCAGCAGAAGATTGGATAAACATGGTGAATGAGTTTCAGAGGGGAGCTTTATCCACCAGGCTGGGAATTCCTATGATTTATGGGATTGATGCAGTTCATGGCCATAACAATGTTTATAAGGCAACAATTTTTCCTCACAACGTTGGTCTAGGAGCCACCAGGTAAATTCCCAGTGTATCCAACGTACATATTAGTGTCTGCACCGTAGTTCATGATCTTCAATAGTAAATGCACCAAAACCAAGTTGAACGTTGGCAAAAAAGAAAAAGAAAAAAAAAAAGACCAAGTTGAACAATGGCCCCACCAACTAAAAAAATTGAGGAATGGTTCCCTACGTTTCCTTTGGTAAAGTTGATTCCTACTATTGAACTCATGAATGTGGAAGTGTAGATAAAGGCTAGTTTATTTCTATTATTATTGGCAAAAAAATTAAAAAGAAAAATTTTGGAAAATTCTAAATTTTTGATGGCGTCAAAAGGCTAAACGCACCATAAAAAAATATGATTTAAATGCATGTAAGTTTACCCAAACGACAAAATAAATAATAAGAAAACAGGTTGGGTTGTGCGCAGTGGCATGGAAGCTCACATAATGACTGACGGGTGATGACGTTATTGGACAATTTTTTTATCAATAAACTATTCCATGGATGATTCACCGCACATGTTAATGTTTTTGCCCAAAAATAAATAAATAAATGAAAAGAAAGATGGCACATGTTATGTTATCATCTGCCTCCACCCTATCATCGTTAATAAATACTTTTTATTTGCAATTCTATTTTGCTGATCTACATATTTGTATATTTATATTCATATTAGTTTATAAAATATAAAAAATTATATTTATAAATAATATGATTTATAATATATATTATGTGACTTACGAAACATATATTGGATATTACTTATTATTATTTCACAAGCATTGTTCCTTGCTAAAAAATTCTAATGACAGGATAGCCTGTAATGGTAAGTTGGGTAGAAAATAATAACTACTTATTTATTATTGAGACTTTCCTATAATTATTTTTTTCTTTTTGGAGCCTCAATAATTTTTCCTATAATTAACTGTATTTTTAATAATTTACAAATAGTGTCCTAATTAACATTTTGTCTTATCCCATTCATGAAGTTGTTACTTACCAACATGGTGTCTAAGGTATTAGCTGCGATAAATTGATTCTAACACCTCCCCCTCTCCGCAAAACAAAAGAAACAACAAGATGTTCAGCGTTACTCCGGGTTTGGCACTTTAGTTCAACGGATGGGGAGTTCGTACCCATATTAGGAAATATTTTAGTCTTTCTATTAGGGAATCATGAGATTGGGTTGTGTTTCTGTACCTTGATGGAGTTTGTGTCCGTACAAGCAGGGACCCTGAACTTGTTAAAAGGATTGGTGCCGCAACAGCCCTTGAAGTTAGGGCCACTGGAATTCCCTACGTGTTTGCACCTTGTATAGCGGTAATGGAGGAATCCAAAATGTGTTTCTTAAAGACAAATCAGTGTACCTACGGTGCCTTACACAACCTGTATACGTTTGTGCAGGTCTGTAGAGACCCAAGATGGGGTCGATGTTACGAAAGTTACAGTGAAGATCCCAAAATAGTTCAAGCTATGACTGAGGTTGTTCCAGGACTGCAAGGTGACATAGCTCCTAACGAGCGCAAGGGGGTTCCATTCGTCGCTGGGAAGTAAGATTCCATGCTTTCACATCATTGTGTTATTTAGATTGTCCTATACTTTTATTTATGATGGTAAAGATGTTATGAATTTATTGTGTCCCAAAGTTACTTTGCTAGCTCTTGCTCTGAGTTTCAGTGTAGCTATCATGACTTCCTTTTTTGTGTTTGTTAGTATGCCTTCGAATGCCAGAATATCAGTATCATGAAATTGTTTACTTTCTGGTGTCTGATGAAATGGCGTTTCTGGGCACAGAAAGAATGTTGCTGCCTGTGCTAAGCATTACGTGGGTGATGGTGGAACGACGGAAGGAATCAATGAGAACAATACAGTCATAAGCAGGCATGGATTGCTTAGCCTTCACATGGCAGGCTACTATACCTCAATCATCAAGGGTGTTTCAACTGTCATGGTCTCTTATTCAAGCTGGAATGGAGTGAAGATGCACGCTAATCGTGACTTGGTCGCTGGCTTTCTCAAGAACACCCTTCGTTTCAGAGTAAATTAACTTCATTTTGAGCTTTGAATTCCACCATTATTGCATTCATTGTGGTCTAACTGACATGTGATTTTGGACAGGGATTTGTCATTTCAGATTGGCAGGGAATTGACAGGATTACATCACCACCTCATGCTAACTACTCATATTCCATTCAAGCTGGAATCTCTGCTGGTATTGATATGGTCGGTATTAATTGGATTTTAGATTTTTTATTCATGTGTTCTTTCTTGATTCTCATTCTCACAATTTCTCTGGTATAATGCTGCAGATAATGGTTCCCTATAACTATACAGAATTCATAGACGGACTAACTTCACAGGTGAAGAATAAAATCATACCCATGAGCCGAATTGATGATGCTGTCCAGAGAATATTGCGGGTCAAGTTTATAATGGGTCTTTTTGAAAACCCTTTGGCTGATCAAAGCCTTGTCAACGAGCTTGGCAGTCAGGTTTACAATTCGTTTTTTCTTCTTCAGCAGACCCGCTTATGTTACTATACTCTTGATCTGGAATTTAATTTTGCACACTATCTTGACTGTTACAGGAGCATAGAGAATTGGCTAGAGAAGCTGTGAGAAAATCACTAGTCCTGTTAAAGAACGGTGAATCTGCAGATAAGCCTTTGCTACCTCTCCCTAAAAAGACTAAAAAGATCCTTGTGGCTGGAAGCCATGCAGATAATCTCGGATATCAGTGTGGTGGGTGGACCATTGAGTGGCAAGGCCTTAGTGGCAACAATCTCACCACTGGTGCAAATTTTTCCCCGGCAACTCTCATTATTTGACACAGCCTAACAATCTAGTACTGATATGAACAAGCTGATTTTCAGGTACCACAATTCTGTCTGCCATAAAAAGCACTGTTGACCCGCAAACTAAGGTAGTGTATAAGGAGAATCCAGATGCAGACTTCGTGAAGTCAAATAATTTTTCACATGCCATAGTAGTTGTCGGAGAGCATCCATATGCGGAAACTGCGGGTGACAGCATGAACTTGACAATCCCTGAGCCAGGTCCAAGCACAATATCCAATGTCTGTGGGAATGTGAAATGTGTGGTTGTTGTGATTTCTGGTCGGCCTGTTGTGATTCAGCCATATCTGGAATCCATAGATGCTCTGGTTGCTGCTTGGCTTCCAGGGTCAGAAGGTCAAGGTGTGGCAGATGTGTTGTTTGGTGACTACGGTTTCAGTGGGAAGCTTCCTCGGACATGGTTCAAGACCGTTGATCAGCTACCAATGAATGTTGGAGATGCTCATTATGATCCTCTATTCCCATTTGGATTTGGCCTTACCACCAAAACCAACAAGGCCACTTAGGTTCTCAACTTGAACACACCCTTTTCTCCCAACCAGATAAAGCAAGTGCTATTGTTGGGTTATATGTGTTGTTAATAAGAAAAATATTCCTTATTGAAATAGGAAGGCAAAGCTTATTATGCGTTGTACAATCTGAGCCAGCATTCCTATATGATCCTTTCTATCTTTCAATCTTCATTTCATTTTGAGTTTATATTATACTACTCTATTTTTTTAATATAAGATCTAATAGTTGAGTTGATCTTTATCTTAAATGTAAGACTTATTTCTCACATTCATTAGTTTTTCCTAAATTATCCCACTAATACTCTATATCATAATCAAGTAGTGAGGTACTTCTTTAATATAATGAAATGAGTTAAATAAATCTTCTGTTTTTGTCACAAAAGAAGCACAACCCCTCCCCCCAAGAAAAAAACTTGAATTATGATCATTCTCACTGCATAAACTAACCCCTGGTGGTTAAAAACAAGCTTTTCTAGAAAGAACAAAAGTTGAATAGGAATTATTAAAATCGAAGCAGATTATGCCAAAAATAATCATGCCAAAAAAAGCGGTCCAGCTTTCGTAAAGTTCATGCGTTTCACAGTAAAAAAAAAAAAAACTTATTATTATTATTATACGTGGTCCAGATTTATCACACGTTTATTGCTGCTTGCCAATAAATTTAGGATTCATGCTTATATTCGCGGAAAAGCCAGAGAGAGCTGCGTCGCCATCACGCCATCAATGAAGCCGTGGGCCAGCTCTGGCAAAAAACTAAGAGTCAAGAGCCAAGGGCCGGTCTTGGACTTGGGACAGTGAACACGATGGTCTCGGTGGTGTCTTCTCACGGAGTGATCCCTTCCGAACCCACACCAACTGGAATTTTCCCTCTCTCCGATTTCGACCAGATCAGGCTCTCCAGTCACGCCCCTCTCCTTTTTGTTTACAGACCCCATTTCAACGACCACGCCCCCCTTCCTTTCTCCATTCACACTCTCGCCAAATCTCTAAGCCGAGCCCTGGTTCACTTCTATCCCTTCGCCGGTCAGTTACGTGAAATCCAAGGTGGTCGCTTTCAACTCCATTGCAATGCTATGGGAGCTCGGCTCTTAGAAGCAGTTTCGGAGGCCAAGTTGGATGATTTGGGTGATTTCCAGCCAAACCAAGATGTGGAACAGCTCATGCCCAAAATTGATTATCGTCTTCCGCTGGAGGAGATTCCGCTCTTGGTGGTTCAGCTAACCAGATTCCGTTGTGGTGGTCTTACTCTTGGGGTTGCCGTGTCACGTGCTGTGGTTGATGGGGTATCTGCTATGCGTTTCGTGATTTCATGGGCTAGGATAACTAGAGGAGAGGGTTTAGATTTAAGCTCAAGTGAAATGCTACTTCGTGATTCAACTATTTTAGATTCGCGAAAGCCATGTACGGCGCCGCGTTTTGATCATCCTGAGTTTTCTCCTCCACCTCTTTGGGAAGGTAGCTTGGTAGATGCAGAGGATGAGGCTGATACTGCTATTTTGAAGATCACAAAAAATCAAGTTCAAAAACTGAAGGAAAAGGCCAGTAATTTTGGTCCTCCCCGACGGCCCTATACGAGTTTTGAGGTAATCTCTGGGGTGTTGTGGAGATGTGCCTGCAAGGCACGGTATGAAGGAAATGGCAACCAACCAACGAGGCTGTCCACTTTGGTTGACTGTCGAAATCGATTGAGACCACCTCTTCCTAATGCTTTCTTTGGAAATGTAACATTACCCACCGTGACTAAAACTAGTAAGTTTGATGATGTCATGAGTAAACCTGTGAGTTATGCCGTTGGGGAAATAAGACAAGCATTAGAGAAGCTGACAGATTCTTATGTGAGGTCAGCTCTTGATTACATAGCAGGTCAGAACGATGTGAGATTGCTGAGGAACGCTGGTCCTGGAAAATTTAAGGGAAACCCAAATCTAACTCTTGTTAGTTGGATGAATTTTTCATTTCAAGATGCTGATTTTGGGTGGGGAAAACCTGTTTACATGGGACCAGGGAATATTAACTCCGAGGGGAAAGCTTTCTTGATGAATGATGGCGCTGGTGATGGCTTCATTGTAGCCATACGTTTGCAAGCGTCACGTTTGGCAGCTTTCAAGAAGTTGTTCTACGAGGAAGCACGGGGGATGTTACATACTACTTCTAAATTATGATGACTGTGAACTCTGTATTTATTCTGTAGCCTCCTTCGATAAATTTACTCCGGGGAATAGATGCAGTGGAGACGGGTGGGACCTGTAACTCAGAGGATTAGAGCACGTGGCTACGAACCACGGTATCAGGGGTTCAGGGGGTTCGAATCCCTCCTCGCCCACAACCGGCCAAAAAGGGAAGAACCTTTTCCTCTTGGGGGTAGGAAAATCATGATCGGAGAAGGGCATAATAAATATAGTATGCCCTTCTCCGCATATTTTTTTTTTGTTTTACACCTCGTAATTCTTCCTCAGCCAGGCTTGGACAGAATAGCAAAACAAATAAAGTATTAGTAGCATGGCAAAAATGCCTTCCTCGTCATTAATATGTTTGCTCGCGGTAATTGTGGCCTCTCAGGAGAATTGATGACTGCATCAAAGATGCATCTGCTAGTACTAGTACATTTGAGAATTCTTAATTGGTTAGTTTAAATAGCCCCGGACTGTGGAATAAAGTAGTATTCCAGACCTACACCCCTAGGGGTATTTTAGTGATAGGTTCTACAGGAACTGGACGATCCTATTTGTTCAAATACCTAGCGACAAACTCTTGTGTTCCTTTCATTACAGTATTTCTGAACAAGTTTATATTTTGCTGAACCCTCTCTCTCTCTCTCGCTGCGCATGAAATACTACGGTTTGCATGAAATAATATAGTGTATGTGACAATACAATTATACTACATCCAGTCCTAATTATAAGAAATTATTTGTAGCCGGTCCTATTTATTAGACTTATTTGTAATACGCCTTCTGTTCTTAATTATAAGATTTTGTTTGTAGACTACAAAGGTTTTGTAATTAGTAACAAAGGTTGTATTGTACAAAGCTAAGTCTCTGAGCCAAGTTAAAATGTCCTCTGAAAAAGGTATCATATTCCTACTTCGATTAGATCAATCTTGTTTATGCTTTGATTAAACGTGATAATAAGGGTGTTGGTATTGAAAGTTCTAGTAGACAATAAACTTCAGATCGTTACCGGTATACTCAATATTTCATTATTTCTTGCAAATTTGACTTGTGGTCTCTTATTAATTAATTATCAGCATGTTTTACCTTGAACGAACTCAATCTTGTATGCATCCTCACGATATGCAGAATAGTGAAACTGTTGTCCTTCTGTCTTGTGTTTCTGTATATACCAAGCCTTGTGTAACTATTTGGCACTCCAGAATTCATTTCGCTTGTTTGAACACAGGACGAAACAAGTCAGGGATTTGAAGAAAGTGAATGTTGTCTCGTGATCATAAATAGAAAGATCCTTAAACTGTGTAAAATGCACCTGGAATAAGTGTAGATTTTCTAGAAGTTGAAGCTGATCTCTCTTTCTCTGATGTAAACCATTTAGATTAATTAATTATGAAGAGGGCATCCCGACCTCAGCCGTTTGAGAGTCACCAGCGCTTGACCCAGCCGGATCCTGATGCATGGTATTAAAATTCAACATATTTTTCTTCTGTACAAGTATCTTATTTGTTTATGAATTAATGTTATTTTATTTAAATATTATTCTTGTTAGGATGATATATAAATATTTTTATACTTTTTAATTTACTCCTCCGGTCCTTATTATAAGACCCAATTTGACTTTTTATTTGGTCCTAATTATAAGACCCAATCCATTTTGTCTCTTATATTTATGCATTTTTTTCCAAGATAATCCTTCTAATAATGATAGTTTTAGCCAATATATTTAATTAGCAAGGATATTTTAGGAATGACAACACTTATTTATTATAAATAACCAACTTAACTTACTTCCTTAATCTCCTCAAATAAGTTAATTGGGTCTTATAATTAGGACCGGAGGAGTAATTCTATTATCTTTGTATGAATTAATTCAATTACCAGTCACAATCTCCTCCTGCTCCAACTCAATGAGCGACAGTTTTCAGTACGTCGTTTAACGGTGACGACAATTGTTGTACCATATTTAAAACTTTTTTTTTTGAATATAAAGGCAAGCGAAGCTTGAAGAAAGAAAAGGAGATAAACTCCAAAAAACTAGCCAGGTATACTAATCCTATTAGCAAGGTCTTCTTCCATCTGATTCATGCAAAAAGGCGGAGGCATGTGAATGAGTCTTACGTCCTCGTTCCCATCGTGGGCAGTCTTTGCAAGGTAGTCCGCGCATTTGTTTGCTTCTCTATAAGCGTGGCGCACTTCCAGATCCCAATTGGAGAAAATTAAGCTCCTGGTTTCAGTGATTTCCTCACGAAGGGGGTGTGAGGGATTACAGTTTGAGGCGAGCAATTGGATCGCCTCCCAAGAGTCAGAGTACAGCTTCACTTTGGAGTATCCCTTCGTCTTGCATAAGTGTAGACCAGCTTGGATTGCCATTAGTTCTGCAGTAGTTGATCCTGCCTGACCAAGTTTTTGTTGGAATCCCATCAGCCAAGCTCCTTGGTCGTCTCTGATTATTCCACCGCAAGCTCCCATTCCATTCCTTGAAACAGATCCATCTACATCGAGTCGAATGTATGATGTAGGCGGTGGGGTCCATCTGCACTGGTCTCTAGCTTGGTTTTGAAACACCTTGTGTATAGTGCGTCCATTCTCTTCCTCTTCCATGAGAAGGAAGAGGCATTTGTTGACTAGTTCTTTTGGATGTTCTTGGGATTCCCCGAAAGCCTTCCTACACCGGTTCTTCCAGATTAGCCAGCAGAGTAAGGTGAAGATTTTGTTCCAGGGCCATCGAGTGAATTTCCTTGAACCAAGCTTGTTCTCCATATTCCAGCGAAGCCATTCCTGCAAATTACCACTAAAGAAAGTATATACATATAAGGGGTTAATGACGGAAAGCCACACACTGTTTGCACTCTCACAATCTCTCAGAGTATGTAAGATTGATTCCTCACAAAGACACTCAAAAGGGCACTCAGCAGAAGCATTCGGATTTCTCTTAGCTCTGAGGTTATTTGTAGGAAGTCTCTCATGAAATACCTGCCATATGAAGAACTTTACTCGCTCGGGAATATCTCCCTTCCAAAGATTGTGCCAATCTTGAACTCTGGTTTGTTGAGACTGGTTTGAAGCCATTTGATAGGCTGAGCTAACAGTGAAGTTACCATCTGTTGATTTCCTCCAATAAAAAATATCATCGCCTATAGATCTCGGGGGCTGGATTTTCTGGATTATTTGAGTGATCCAGTGTGGCAGAAGCGCTTCCCATTTTTGCATGTCCCAGGAGCCCGTGTTGTTGATGAATTGGGCCACTTTATCATTAATGTCATAGTCAGCTTGGTTGTTGGACACATAGTCCTTGAGAGGTCGGTCAAGAGGGGTCCACAAGTCCTCCCAAGCTTTTGTATTCCTGCCATTCCTCACTCTTTTTCCGAGTCCCTTTAGGAAGAGGTCCCATACATCTGTGATGCCTTTCCAAACCCTTGATTGGTTCCTCTTTGCCTTCACCGAGTTGAGATTTTCTCTGTTCCAGTTGTATTTGTGCTGAAGACACTGGACCCAAAGAGCATTCGGTTTTACCATCATCCCCCAACATAGCTTCATAATGAAAGCAATATTCTGTGAGCGAAGATCCTTTATGCCGAGGCCTCCGTGCTCTTTGTCAAGTTTTAGGGTGTTCCAAGAGATAAGGTGCATTTTCTTTGTACCATGTTCCTGGTTCCAGAAGAACTCCCTATTAATCTTCTCTATGTCTTCCAGTACACCTTTTGGAAGGAGTAAAGTTTGCATTTGGTAAGAGGGTATTGTCGATAGGGTAGATTTGATTAGAACTGTTCTTCCTGCCATGCTGAGAAATCTGCCCTTCCAGCCTGTTAGTTTCATGTGAATTTTCCGGAGAATAGGCGCAAAAGTAGCCTTGATTGCTCGTTGATGTAGCAAAGGGACCCCCAGATATTTCCCCAAGTCTGCCGTTAGGGTAATACCCAAGCTTTGACTAAGGGAAATCGCTCTACTTGCATGGACATTCCGTGAAACAAACATCTTGGATTTCTGTAGATTAATCTGGTGTCCCGAAACTTCACAGAAGAAGCGCATAATCTCTCTAATTTCCTCCATCTGATCCTGTGAAGCTTCGCTGAATAGAATGAGATCATCGGCAAAGAAGAGATGCGAGAATGGGGGCCCATTTGCACTCAGCTTTAAAGGTTTCCATCTCCCCTCATGAACTTCTGTGTGTATGAGCTGACCCAATCTCTCCATACAGAGAATGAACAGGTAAGGGCTAAGGGGGTCTCCCTGTCTTACTCCCCTTGTAGGTGTAAAGGTTTCTGAGGGAACTCCGTTCCATAGCACGTTCATCGTAGCCGTAGACACACAGTTCATAATGAGATTAACAAATCCTTCGTCCAGTCCCATGCTATTGAGTGTGAATTGAATGAAATTCCAATCGAGTCTGTCAAAGGCTTTCTCCATATCTACTTTAATTGCTACAAAACCATCTGCTTGTTTCTTGGTTCTCATGGTATGGATGGCCTCCTGAGCAATGATGATGTTGTCAATCCCTTGTCTACCCCTGATGAAGCTGCACTGATTTGGTCTAATAAGGTAGTTCATGACCCCCTTGAATCTGTTAGCCAGCACCTTAGTCAAGATCTTAAAGCAAACATTGCAGAGGGAGATGGGTCGAAAATCCTTCAACCTACTCGGGTGTTCAATCTTAGGAATGAGAACCAGGTTGGTTTGGTTAATGCAGCCGATGCTTGCGGGGTTTTCAAATAGGTCCTTAATCAGCCGACATACCTTGGAGCCAACTTCGTGCCATTGGGTTTGCAGGAAGTGAGCTTGAATACCGTCAGGTCCTGGAGCTTTAAATTTTCCCATTTCAAAGATAGCACTTTTAATTTCTGAATCCGAAATACCTCTTTGCAATTGAGAGAGCTGGAGGGAGGAGAGGTGGGGAAAATCTTCTGGCCATTCATTCACTGTAGTAACACATGGGTCTCGTGAATATAGGTTCTTGAAGAAGTCATGGGCCATTTGTCTCAGAGTATGCTGGTTTGAGATCCAATTTCCTTGGTCATCTTGCAAGGCCTCTACTCTGCTCTTCTTTCTTCTAATCATAGTGGTAGCGTGGAAGAATTTGGAGTTTCTGTCACCAAACTTTAGCCATTGGCATCTCGACTTTTGGTACCAGATTAATTCCTCTTGGCTGCTTAGTTTGATGAATTCTTTCCAGAGAATCTTTTCTAGTTTGAATAGACCATTACGATCATTCTTCTGCCGCGCTTTGTCGATTCCCTCAAGTCTTTTCAAGATTTCCCTTTTTTTTCGGGGAATGTTTCCAACTACCTTTTCGTTCCAGATAGACACTTTTTGAGTGAATTCTGATCTACCATCGATCCAGGATTTCCCCTCCCAAGCAGACTTGACAATATCGTTAAATCCCTCCTCTAAACACCAAGCTGCCTGATATTTGAAATTCTGTTTCCCTATCAAAGGTCCAGGCCTGTTGCCCGCGATGACTAAAACTCTGTGATAAGATTTAAAGCGAAGTTGGTGATGAGCTTTGTGATTAGGATGTGAGATTTCCCAATCAAAGTTGCAAAAAGCCCAGTCGAGACGTTCTCTAACACCCTCCTTTTCCCAGGTGAAGCGGTCGCCGATGACAGGAATTTCCAGCAGGTCACAATGTGAGACACATCGTCTGAAGGGGTCCATTGCATGATTTGGGGGTGTACCTCCTCCCGTTTTATCATTGGCATTCAGAAAAGAGTTAAAATCGCCCATGATGATCCATGGCCCCTGAGTTTGCGCAGCTAAGGTCCTAATTGAATCCCATAGGGGGCGTCTTCGCTGATGGGTGGTATCACCGTAAACAAAGGTGGTAAAGGTTTCTTCACCCGAGGCAATATCTTTAACTTTGCAATGGAGAAATTGAGTGGAGGAAGACAGGTAGTCAATATTGGTTTCATTGTCATTCCATAGGAGCCAAATCCCCCCGGCAAACCCAGTGGCTTCTACTCGTATCTAGTTATTGAACCCAAGCTTTCTCACAACACGCTCAGCAACATGGCCACTCACTCTAGTCTCCAAGAGACCCATTATTTTGATATCATATCTACGAACAACTTCTTTGAAGATACGTGGGAACGCTTTGCTACCGGCCCCACGACAATTCCATGTTGCGATAATCATTAAAAACACAGGCGGAGAAGAGAAGGGAAAGAAATCACATATCTGGTGGTTTCCCATCAGGTGGCGATCCCATTTTCTGCAGTTCTCCTATGATCTTAGCTACCTTCGAGTGCTCAACAACGGTCGGTTCTACCATGGCATCTGCTATATCCGTCTCCCGTGGATTCGTTCCGCTTAGGACAGGCAGAATCATATCTGTTTGGATTGGTCCAGGTGGCTGAGAAAGGTCAGGTAGTTCTTTGGTCAAAGTTTCTTCTTTATTGGGTTGTCCGCAGATCACCGTGGATTGTAGTGTTTGTACAGTTCCACTTATCACCAAATGGCCTCTTGGGCTGTTGTCCTTCGGTCCAGTTTTAGTTTTGATCTCTTGATATTTTTCCCCACTCCCTGCACCTTCTGAGCTGGCCCAACAATTTTTAATAGCTCGGTCAGAGCTTTTGGGCTTTCGGTTCTCTTTTCCTGTGCTTGTAGAGGCTTGTCTGACTTTAAATCCCTCAGTTATTTTCCCCTTGCCTTTTGGTTTTGCTATCAGCGCCTTCTCTATGTGGTTCTCTCTCCTTCCCTCATGGATTATCAAAGTGTTTCCCTCTGCAGCTGGCTCTTTCGCCTCTCTCCCCAGGTTAGGCGTCTTGTCATAAGGCTCTTCCATCTCCTCTGTCAGATTGGCTATAGCTGCGAATTTCGACTGGTAGGTACGAATTCCACTTTTCCTTTCCGTTCTTGAGTTCCCTCCATTTTCAATTGTCCTTCTTCTGTTACTTTCTGTCCTCGGGATTCGTGCCTTGTTTGAGCTTTTCACAAACATCCAAGGACCGAATTTTTCATCCTCTGCTGGAATTTTTGCCGTCAATGATCCTTTCTGAGCGGGATTTTCCTGGGGCATCTTTGATGGAGAATCAGTTTCGTTTGTACAGTTTTTCCAGGGGCAAGCTTCTCTTCTATGCCCGTACCTACCACAAGCAAAGCATATCAGTCCCAGTCCTTCGTATTCCACATTGTAGAGAGCAGAGGTGCATATGATTCGAGGAACCAGCTTCTTTTGCAAGTCTAGTTCAACGCAGAGGCGGGCAAAACGTCCCCGCCCAACCTTCGCTGTGGGTGCCTCTGTATCAGCGATTGTGTGCATATCCACTTTGAGAGTTTTCCCTATCATATCGCCTAACCTCCAGATGTATTTTTTGGAGTAGCAATGTAGGGGAATATTTGGGATGCGAATCCATGTTGCGATTCTGCCTAGTGGATTCTGGAAAGGGTCGAAGTAAGGGGACCACCTTTGGACGAGTACACTGTGTTGAGCCACGACCCATGGGCCTTCGAAGAGGATTCGTTTGTATTTATTACCCCAGTTTTCATCTTCGGTGAATCTGACCACATAGTAGTTGTTGGGTATATCAATGAGATCGAAGTCGCTGAATCCCCAGATGCGACATAGTCTTTCTTTCAGTTTGTCGAGCTGGAATCTGGCTCCAAGCACCGTTAGTACCAGAGCGTTGTTCCATGGTGAGCAGCATTCATTAAACTCTTCTTCTGAGCAAGGTACCACTGGATAGATTTCCATTAGTTTCTTGATATCCTCTGACGGTTCCGGAATTTTCCAAGTTTGGTCCATGATATCCGATAGCAGGGGGTCATCTTCCATGGCGAGGCCTCCGTGGGACACACCATTGAAATCTCTTGCTTTGAAACCAAGCAAGGAGTCTCTGTACGACGGTGCTTGGGGTTTTTTTGGTGGTTCTTGATTTTCCGTCAGTTCAGGGGATTCATCGAAGCACCCCTCTGCGTCTTCCATCTTGTCCGACATAAGAGCGTCTTCCTTTAGTTCTTTTTTTGACTTTTTTGGATTGGTCTGGTCTTTACTTCCTTCCCTATCACGGTCTGGGGGCACTTTCCGGCAGGAAGATTCTCCCATGGCGAGTGTGGAGAAAGGTTGGCACGGTTTTCAAGAGAGAGAGAAGTCTCACCATATTTAAAACTTGACAGACCATCTTGCCGTGTCGGGGTAGGCAAATGATTTTAGGGGGTGTTTGAAAGCCCCAGAAGTGTTTTTGATTTTGTTCCATCCAAATACTGGTTTTAGATGAAACCAAATCAAGATTTAAAAAATAACTTATAGATATTAGATTCTGGAGAGAATAGATTTTGAGAAAAATAGATTTTCTGAAAAAATAATTTTGATAAAGTGAGAGTGTTTGGATAGTTGTTATTAGAAGCACTTTTCATATGTACAAATTACTAAAAAAGACATACAAATATGATAATTATATAAAAGATAGATTTTATAATATGTTTTGATTTGAAGGATAAAATTGTTAATAATATATTTTTTTACCAACATAATTAATAATATATAAGAAAATATAATTAATAAATAATTAATATATGTATATATATAAAAAAAGATTAAATATATTTATAGAAAAATGAATAAAAAAGTGCCGTAATAATTAAGATGAGCATCGATATGGAGCATTTATAGTAAGTTTTTTTTTTTAAACTACATATTACCAGTTTGGTTGAAACTTTCCTTTAATAAAAGTTTAAGACCTTGTTTACATATTAACTCTCCAATTAGGTTTTACATTAATGACCAGAATAATAATCTTACATTTAAAACCAATATTAACTCTCTAATTAGGTCCTACATTAAAGACCGGAATAATAAATTTATTTTTTTTTTCAACATAATAAACAATGTATAAAAACATATATTAATTACTATATCCAGTTCTAAATGTAAGAGCTAATTGATTAATTTGAGTAGATTAAAAAAATAAGTTAAGTTAGTTATTTATAAATAGGTGTTGTCTTTTCTACAATATCCCTATTAATCAAGTTTATTGGTTATAACTTGAAAAATGCTAGACAAATATGAGAAATAAAATCGGTTGGGATTTCATATTTAGGACCAAATAAAAATTAAATGAGATCTTATATTAAAAACAGGATGTAGTAATTGTTAATATGTGTATATATAATTATAAAATATAAGATTATGTTTTTAGAAAAATAAATAATTGTTTTCAACAAAAAAAATACTGTTGGAAGTGGGGGGAGAACCGCTCAAAAAGCAAAATTTTTTTGCTTATTACAAAACTTTGGTTTTGATAAACAAACCATAGTTTCACGGTAAAACGATGATTTCAAAAAATTAATAGGTTTTTGGGTAATTTTTTTTTTCAAGCCACATGTTCTGAGTAATCACCCAAACACCCCTTTAAAAAAGTCATCCAGTGTACGTATTCCACGACTATCTTCGGCATCTCTACTGGAGGAGTCGCAGTACTACCGGAAATGGAATGTGGTAAGATGGTTTGTGTTCGCTCCTCCTACACGGTCGTCCCTTCCGAGCCCACACCCACCGGAATATTTCCCTTGTCCCTTTGCGACCAGATCAAGCTCTCCTCCCATGGTCCTGTTCTTCTGGTTCACAAACCCAACTTCACTTCTACTTCCTCTCACTCTGACTCTTCTCCCATCCACGTTCTCAGAACTTCTCTCGGTCGAGCTTTGGTTCACTACTATCCTCTTTCTGCTCGATTATGTTGGATCCATGGTGGTCGGTGGCAGCTCCACTGCTTTGCCCAGGGAGCTCTGCTCCTTGAAGCTACTTGTGAAGCCAATTTGGATGATTTGCGTGATTTTGCCCCAACCGAGATCGTTGAACAACTCATGCCTAAGATTGATTATAATCGCCCAATCCAAGACATACCTGTGCTCGCGGTTCAGCTTACCAGATTCTCATGCGGCGGTCTTACTCTGGGAGTGGCCTTGTGTCGGGCCGTCAATGATGGGTCGGCCGTCTCTGGGTTCCTGAACTCGTGGGCTAAGTTAGCCAGAGGAGGTAAGTTAGATCTGGGTGAGACGCCATTTCTTGATCGAACTTTATTAGATTCATGGAGGCTGAAAACAGAGCCGAGATTTGTTCATACTGAGTTTCACCCAGCACCCATCTGGACTGGGAGATTGGCAGACACAAAATATGAGGCTAAAGCTGCCATTTTCAAACTCAACAAAGTTCAGGTTCAGAAACTGAAGAGCAAAGCCAGAGAATTTGGCACATCGCAGCGACCTTACACTAGTTTTGAAGTGATAACTGGGCACTTATGGAGATGCGTTTCAAGGGCAAGGTATGTGGGGAATGGCGATCAACCAACAAGATTATCTACTCTGGTTAATTGCCGAAATCGATTGAATCCACCACTTCGCAATGATTATTTCGGGAACGCAACTTTCCCTACTGTGTCTCCAACTTGTTCGTTTGATGATCTCATATACAAGCCTTTGACTTATGCAGTAAGGAATGTGACGGAAGCAGTTGAGAAGATGAACGATGAGTATATAAGGTCAGCCCTCGATTATATTGCAAGTCAGAAGGACCTGGACTTGGTGAGGAACACGTTTCACGCAGGTACGGTAAGCCCAGAGGGAGAGTTCAAGGGGAACCCAAATTTATTTGTGGTTGGATGGTTCAACTTTCCGTTTTATGGGACAGATTTTGGGTGGGGGAAGCCTTTTCATATGGGACCAGGGCAATTGAACTCTGATGGGAAGGCTTTCCTTATGAATGATCGGAATAGTGATGGCTTCGTTCTGGCCATTTGTTTGCAGTCATCTCATTTGGATGCTCTAAAGAATTTGTTTTATCAGGATATAGAGGAGCAATTTGTGCCTAGTTCCAAATTATGATGATGCTAAGCTGGGAAAACTTGTGCCTTGTTACAACTATATGCATGTTTTCTATTTATAGTCGTGTTGTGAGATTGAAATCGTAAGTTCAATTTTTGTAATTCTTGGGCCCACTGGTCACTGCTCAACTACTAAAGATTTTCTTTGCAAAACTTGTATCAGCCACAGTGACGTGGATTTTATTTGTGTCAACTGTTTTGGATGGCGAATAGAGGATTTCAAGTTCATGAAAAAGCAGGCATAACAGTAGATGGCCGTTGGGAGTGTGGAAAGGTGGTTCTGGGTTCTCGGGGGTGTTTGGATGGAAACCAAACTATAGTTTGAAAAGTGTTTTTATGGTTTACGAAATGAATATATAAAAGAATTTGTATCGTTTTACAAAAAAAAATAGTTCTTAGATGCATTCTTTAGGATTGCCAAACATCCCTTTCAATTGTTGTGGCTGTTAAATGTTCTGTGCACCCCAATTAAAGGCATTATATAATTATAAAATTTTGATATCGTGACCGAAATTATGAATGAACCTTTAATATAGTCTTTTTACGATTATTATTATTACTACTACTACATGGTGATGATTATTATGACAAACCCAGTTTTCCATTCTGTTAAAATGATCTGCCATTATAATAGCTGTGTACACGTGTACACCAACAAGAGAATTGAGGTTTTTCTTGAAAACATCAGGGTACAAGATAAAATACAGAGGAGTAACACATTTCGCCCACCTACCTATAAATAGAATAAGAACAACCACGATGTCAAACTGCCTATAATTAATAAGCAAGCAACCGTCCCAGAAAGACGCCAATACATTGTATTGGAATTTCTCCTGCATGCCTCTCTGTTTCCTTTTATTGGTCTTGAGTATGTCACCTAATTGTTTGTTAAACATTTCGTCAAATCCTCTTCTCCCTTCCCCACCTCTTCCCCATGATTCCCACATTGTGCTAGGCAGAATCTGCAGGCTAAAAGAGAGAAAGAAAGAATGAATTCTCCCGTCTTCAAAGAATATACTCTATTGCTCAGTCAAAATGGCACGTTGGAGGTCTGTTTCGATAAGCAGGTCTCCTATGGATCTGGTTATTGGCTGGAAAATTCCTTACAAGTCACCATGCCTCTGTTTTCTCTGCAACTCGCTATAATTTTATCATTGAATCGCCTCTGCATCCTTGCCTCAGCACCGTGGCACTTGCCTCGTATTGTCACTGATATTTTTGTAAGTACTTCTTTCTCAGCCCTTCCTTAATTTGGATTCTTAATCTTAAGGTTTCATTCCTAACGTTCTGGTGCTCTTGGGGTTGAAGGCTGGGTTTTTGACTAGTCCAGCTGTTCTGGGTCGCTCTCCTTTTTATGTCAAACACATATTCCCTTTCAGTAGTATGATGGCATTGGAAACCGTGGCAGCTTTGACCCTTGTTTACTATATGTTCTTGATCGGTTTAGAGTTTGATTTGAGACCGATAAGGCGTTCTGGGAACAAGAAGGCTATAATTGTAGCCACTGCTGGTATAATCTTCTCTATTCCTTTTGGGATTGGATTGTATTACCTGCTTCTCTCTGACTTGGGACGCAAGCACTTGTCTCCTACGATAACTGGAACGAGACATTTCACCGGTGCTATGATATGGGGAATGACCCTTTCTTGCAGCGAGTTCCCTGAGATCGCGAAGATTCTCACGAGCCTCAAGCTTGTTCTCGACGACAATGGACAATTGGCTTTAACCTCTGCTCTCATCAACGACGTCTTCTCTTGGATCTTCCTTGTAATATCAATAGCAGCACTCCATGGAGCTTCAGGAGCATCCATCGCCTCCACCATTGTCTTTCTTTAATAGGGATCTACGTGGTTCATCCCCTTGCCCAGTGGCTCTTCCAGAAAGTTGGCACAAAGGACAGAGATTTGATTGACGCTCAAGTTGTGTTTCTCTTGCATATGGTTTTGCTCTTTGGATTCCTCGCCGATGGATTCGGAGCTCATTCCATCACAGGGGCTTACGTTTTAGGAGCTATCACCCCAAAGGGTATAATCTCAAAGGCGGTTCAGGAAAAAGTGCTTGATTTTGTGACAGCATTCATGATGCCAGTCTTCTTTGCGGTTCTTGCGGAGAGAATCCATGTCGAAGACTTCGCCTTGGGCATCCATTGGATAAGCGTTGTGGTGATTGTTTTGCTGGCTTTCATGGCCAAGATTTTGTCCACTCTAGCCGTCTATATGCTCCACAGGCTGCCTCTCAAGGAAGGCATCTCTCTTGGAGTACTCATGAATACCAAAGGAATAGTGTCAATCATCATTCTTTCCACCGGCAGGGACATGCTGGTAAGCCAACCTTACAACCTATCATAGTCAAATCAAGTTAATTTGTAATAACATAAAAGCAATCCTGTCTGTCCCAAGCTTCGCAATCAAAGGGGCATGTGTTTGTGTGCTTATGTTTACTTGTGATATGATGCAGGCACTGAACGACCAAACCTTTGGGGTTATGCTTCTGATATGCTGGATAATGACGATTCCCGCGGGGCCTGTCTTAGCCGCCATAAGCAAATTCACGAGTCCCAGTATTGGGAGTAGCCTACGTAGGACCATGCTGGGGACAAGACCGGACATGCCGCTCAGAGTGCTTGCCTGTGTCCACACATCACGCGACGCCAATGTGATTGTCAGTCTGTTGAAGGAATCGAACCCAACGGTTAAATCCCCAATCCAGGTTTTCGCGGTAGAGCTTGTGAAGATGACAAGCCGCCCCACCACAGCACTAATCCTAGATGATGCTCATAAGCAAGTAATGGAGTCCAAATCTAAGAAAGACCTCTTGCGAGGTCTCAATCCAGACGGCAACAACAAGACAGGGACAGAAGATAGCCTTGAGTGCTTCGAAAACCTTAGCCAAGCTATATTCGCTGAGAAGTTAAGGGTCGTGTCTGATTACAACACCATGCACAAAGACATGTTCCATCTAGCGAAGCAAAAAGGAGTGACGCTCATGCTAACCACACTTTACAAACAACCGACATACGATGGTTTAGGTGCAGGCACAGCAACAGCTAGAGCTGCTAACATAGTGAACAGAGAATCTTCGAGCAAGGATGAGAAAAAAGTAGTGCTTGAGAACCTAGTGAAGGAAACACCATGCTGTCTGGGGATATTCATAGATCGTGGGTTAGGCCAAAAGCGAGGCAAAGAGCAGAAATTGGCAATGTTCTACGTGGGTGGGGCAGATGATCGTGAAGCATTGTCGTACGCATGGAGGATGTGTAGAAGCCCAAACACAAAATTAACAGTGGTAAGGATCATCTGGGACAATCCCAGTGACGATTTGATCAAACAGATGAAGAGTACCTAACATTCTTCAAAATCCAAACGAGAGACATGGGGGGATCGGTGAAGTACATAGAGAAAGTGGTGAGAGACGAGAAGGAGACGTTGGCGTTGCTGAACAGTGTGGGAGACAATGGGTACGATTTGTACATAGCAGGGAGAGGGCAAGGAAGGAGGATGTCGCTGGCACAAACGCTTGACCCTGTGCTGGAGGAGCCGGCGTTGGGGCCACTCGGCGATACGTTGGCGGATTTGAATTCTGCGGCGGAGACTTCGATTTTGATATTGCAGTCGCAAGCTAGCGGTGACGGGAATGCGGAGCCAGCGCCGTCTGAGTATGCTTATTTTGAAGGACACGGCGATCTAATGCTGCGTGGAGGGCGTATGGCATGGCGGGCTTCTGATTTTAATTGATCATCTCTCCTTTTCTCTTTCTATTCTCAATCCCGTGGCTACTATATTTGTAGGAAGATGGAACTGAAAAATAATTATATGGCTTTTGAGACGGAAACCATATATAGCAGGAAGAGGTTAGCAAAGAAGCTCAGATTTATTTTCCACAAAAAGGCAAAATTATTTTTCGCTATTCGGTCCTTTTTTTTAACAGTATTTATTACTTTATTTACTAAATGTATGAAGATTTTCAACATCCTGTCTAAATATTATTTCCATAGTTGAATTAATAAAAGAATTAAGACAATTTGCCTCCTAACTAATGTTTGAACTTTAATTTATAAAAACATAAAATAAAAATTGGAAATAAAAAAGGGAAGTAAATTTAAAAAATGAAAATTTTATTTCAAACTAATGTTGATTTTTGACTTTCAAAATAGCAGTATATGCTAATATCTATCTTTTGAAAATATGTGTATTTAGAGTTGAGAATGGCACCACATTTAGCGTGGAAAGAGATATATTCTTACATTACAACTAATAATATGTTTACTTTAGTTTTAAATACAAGATCTTGATTTATTTTATCTTTTATATTACAATTTTTCATAAACTCGCACATATTAAGGGGATATACACTAATAGATTGATTTTTAATATAAATGATTAAAGTGGACATAAACAAACCTTAATTTTTTTAATCTTTATAAATTAGATATTTAAATCTTTAGGATTTAGAACTGGAGGGGTATAGCATATAATAGTTAACAGAATTTCTACTGTAACGTTGTACAATGACCGAAACACAAATATTTATCGCTTTAGCCTTTTACACAACAGGACTAGAAGTAACAAAGCCATCGTTTTGGGAAAAAGAAAAAATTGTTCCAAAAACAAAAAAACCTTCACACCCACGTAACGTACGTAAACATGCATGCTCATGCAACACTTTGATTGCATTCTCATTGTTTTAAGTGCGAAATTCAAAAAATCACTGACCAGCCAAAAATATAGAAACTTAATTTAATCTCAATCAGAAAAGCCCAAATTAAATTAAAGATCATATCTTGGATTCTAGGTAAACCGATTCTCTCAACCCCAACCAAAAATCCAACTAATAACACGAATCAAGCTAATTATTTCTGATAAAATACTCACAAAATCTTAGTTTCTTTCCTTATTTATAGCAAATCACTCCAGAAAAAGTAAAGTTAAAAAAAGAGGAGAGAGATTAACTCAAATGAAACAAAAAAACAAATAAAACAATGGGGAAAAAAAGCATCAAACAAATTAGAAACAAAGGTTGTGGGAGTTACTGACAAATAAAAAAAATACCTTTGCCTTCACCATGTGTCACCAATCCATGACGTGTCCGTCTGTATTGGGGCTTCCACTCTCAAGCTTACATACAACAAATTAACGCAAAGGATATTCACGTTCTGGGAATTGGAAGGCCTGGTTTATGGTTAACCAGCGCCTTACCTGCCCCATTATTGCCTCGTCACATTCCCTTCTTCCTACAAAACAAAACCAAAACAACATCAAAAATTGAATCATAGAACCTTGGCATTGAGTTTCTCAGCCCTCTTCCACAATGAACGATCTTCTATCGGTAATCATTTATTCTTTCAAGTTCTGTTTTCCGGGTTATTACGCGTTATTGCGTTGGTATTCCTTCCCCCCCCCCCGGGGGGATGAGTGTGGGATTTCTTGTTCTGGTGTTCTTCATGTCTGGTTTTCTATATATGGGGAGGTGTGAATTCAGCTGTATCTACCTTTCTGTCTTAGCTTCTGTTTGTCTACAAAGAAAATGCTGGAAACAAAAAGATTTTTGGAGGTTGTGAATGAATGCTGGATCGTTGATTATCATTGTCGGACCCCGTTTGGGTTGTGTTTTTTTCTCAACCGATCATACTTCTTCATACCATAAGGGGCATTAAGAATTTACCACACGGTGGACCCCGTCCCCATAAGACTAATTAGAAACAAATTTGTTTGAGATAAAAATTATTTCTTTCTCTGGACATAGAAGTTTGATCACTTGATGTTTCAGAATTGGAATCAAGCATTTCCAGAATGATTTGCTGTATAAATAAGCTCTTCTAAATAATTAGCGCAAAAGGTATTCTAGCTGCGTGTTTATACTTGCTCCATTAACATGAATCTATAATTTGCTCAGTTTAAGTCTCATTTGTTAACAATCTGCGGGAATATATAAAGCGAAAATTAAATAGGATTCTTTCGGAGATCCACCAAGACCTTTCAAAGATTAAAGATATTAATATATAAAGTAATAACCAGTACTTAGTCTCCAGTTTCCACCAAGAGCTCAAAACATTATGGAGTGTTCGATTCATCAAGAGCATATTGACTGTTGACTAAGTAGAATGTAGTGGTTATGAGTTTTAATTCTTGGTTTGATCGATAGAAATGTTGATGAAACCTCCCGTGTTTAGTTTCCTGTACCGAAGATTACAGTTTAGTCACATGTATTAATTTTACCATCTTTATACAGGAATCATTTGAAATCCCACGTGGGCATGGAAATGGTGACGTCGAGTTTGGGGCATATTTACGAACTTCAGGAGAACTGGGCTTGGATACTTTCTTCAAAAAGGTGTTTGATTGAGGTCTTTATAAGTTTATATGTCAAATAAAATGTGGTTTAATTATTTCATCATATTCTCTTACTTTTTCATTCTTCTGCTTAATGAATTCATGCATTACTTTGAATCGCCGTTCTTCTGGTGTTCATGATTGCCTCAAATTCAAATGTTCCCACGTGGCTGTGTGTGGTTTTCCAGGTTCAAGAGCTTGATAAACAATTTGAGAGGCTGGGTAAGCTTCTCAGACAGCTCCAGGTATAGATGCTGTACTTTTACGTATTTACTGATCGATGACTTCACAATCATTTTATATATATATATATATATATATATATATATATGTTCAAATAAGACATCCAAAACTCTTTATAAGCAAGTTCTGAACATGCAAACTGCTAAGCATTCAGAGGATGTACATAATGTATCAATCAAGTTGATTTTTATCAACATTATTGGACTTCTAATATGTTTGCGTCAATAAAACATGACAAATGAATAACTGACTTATGAAGGCCTTCTGTCCATAAGGGTGATAGGCTCCCTCCAGTTGATATATCGGAGGGGCTTTCCAGTTTGCTAATAAAACCTGACAGATAGTGGCTACTTAAACCTGATATTCCTGACATATGCCAAATTAAACAACATCAGTATTGAACTCCATGTATGAGGTTGGAATATGGTTTGTGTTTTTGCAAGGATCATGCAAAGTAAAAGGTTGTTTGCAACGTAAAAGAGGAGAGGGATGACAAGATTAAGAAAACTCGTATCAGAAGAATTCAGTGGAACAGTATGACCTTTCTGTCATTCTGTTTTGAAAAAAAAGAGAGGAGGAAAAAAAAAAAAACAGAGAGCGAGAGGGGGTTACAGTTCAAGTAACCTTTCAAGGTCTCTGCATAAGATTTTGTCTATGCCCCTGAATTTTTTATTACCAGATCTCCATAAGATTTTGATCTTCTTCTTAACAAATGAAAAGACAAATTTGAAAATGAAATTTTTCATGCTTTGAAAATGACAAAGTTGGTTGTGCAGAAAGCTCGACGATCTGTTTTGTGAGCTTGAAATGTGCTCTCTCATCACTTTAATACAAACTTTATTTGCAGGATGCTCACGAGGAGTCCAAAGCGGTGACCAAGGCTCCTGCCATGAAGGGTTGGTCATTTTTTCCAATGTAGGAAAAGAAGAAATCATGTGAAACAAGATTGTGACAGAGAAATGAACATTTTCCCTATTAATAATACTGTTAATTGTAACTTAGATGTGAGAATGATTCGTGAGGGTAGGAACTACTCTGGATCTTAAAATGCACTTGCTGTAGGAATGCATCTTAAGATTGATGACAAAGGATTATAAATTATTCTGGCAAGTGTAAGACCTTGCAGTTTCTGTGAACTCGATAATTACGTTTGACTCTTTCATCCTCTGCAGATATTAAGCAGAGAATGGAGAAAGATGTTGATGAGGTTAAGAAAATTGCCCATCACATAAAAACGAGAATTGAAGAATTGGACAGAGAAGTGAGCACATGCTGGTTATCTTTCAGCTGTATTTCCAATACCTAGCTTCTACATAATTAACAACTCCCTCACCTCCTCCTTTACTCCTTTATGTGTTGCAGAACCTGGAAAATAGGCAAAAGCGTGGGTGTGGAAAAGGATCAGGTGTCGACAGGTCAAGAACAGCAACCACCGTGTAAGTAATAATTATTATGGCAACACAAATGGTATGATAGGGAAAAACAAGAAAACTGCATAGCTAAACTTTGCATCCACTGAAGCTAAAAAAGACTTTTACATAATGAAGAGAGTACTTTTTGCTGCATAAGATGGTCCAGTCAAACCTGGGGATTGCTCCAAACGGGGATTTACTGTTGGATTTTAGAATAATGGACTTCACTTAATGATCTTTTGATCACTCTCAACTGGACCTGATTTGTTTGGTACTATGTTGCAGTGCCTTAAAAAAGAAATTGAAGGACAAGATGGACGAATTTCAGGTAGGTTGACTTTATATTTGGTAGGGGATCTTG